GAGATCGAGCTCTAATCGATGCAAAATTTTGTTGGAATTGTGGAAAACTTTTTCCATAAATATCGTCAAAGTTTTCATTTATTATCGTCGATTTTACTTTAAAAAGCTCAATCTCTTCTGGCTTCTTGTTAGTGACTCTTTTATTGGCTTTACAGCACTGTTAGTGGCAGAAAGAAGGGACAAGAAACTATTTTTAGTAAAAAACCTATTGGCAAAAAGAAAGCCAACGTACCTTTTTCCTAAGGCAGTACAACCCTAAGGCACTAAGAAGTCCCAAAGTGGTCATTCCCAAACCACTAAAGGTAGCCAAAACCCAATCCAAAATTACCGCGCCAGAAACTTCCGCCGTAACCTTGGCTGTACCATTCTCAAAGGTCACGGAAACTAATCAGCCCAAGTTCCCCTGAAGTCCATGGTACCAATTACGCCAATTTTACCCCCTTATTGGGTGGCAGTGCGCACTGGGCTTTTCCAAAGTTTTTTCAATCTCAGGCACCACAGGAACAGAATACGAAGTCTGTTTTATGGTCAGCTCTGGAAAATAGGTTATTTTTATTCATTTATTTCCGAGCAGCAAATTAATTTACTTTAATTCACCTGTGGTGGAAACCTCTACTTTTTGACCTGTCAACGTCCCTGAAACCGTCATGGTGTCCGTCAACAACGCTGTAGTGCGGGTCCAAAAAACCTCTGCTGGATCCTTATCGGCAACACCCCCGCACAATTCCCAGGGCAAAACAACCCTGCGAATCGCCGGCGTTATTTTCCCGACGCAGCGAGTCCGAGTGTACAATCTAACGCTCTAGGAACAAAAATAACATCAAGCGTCATTTTCACCGATCAACTAGCGACATCTACCTTCAACATACCAAAAGACCGTAAAACCGCATGCAGTTCAGGTCCAAAACGCGTCCAACAAAGTCCACTCCGAACCCAAATGCCTCCGAATCCGAAACGTCTTCATCACAAACGTTTGAACAGACAAAGGCGCCATCTTGGACGCCACACCTGCCCGAAACTTGATGACTTGCACTCACGAGACACCAACACAGCAAACCGAACTGGAAATCATTGAAATTTTACGTTTACCGCGGATTTGAAAAATTGTCTAAGGGACTTGCCTTGTTAAGCCACATCGCGAGATTTTTTGACGGCTCTTCCACGATTTTTTCGCACAAACTTGTTGTTTCTTGCCTACAAATGCCCAAACAAATGTTTTTAGTAGGCATCGTTACGCGATTTCCTTGATTTTTGCGACCGAATTTCGCGAAATTCGCGAAATCGCCGATAGCTTCGCGGGCGTAGCGATCCACGAATATCAGTTATTTTATCGCCGAAAAAACGCAAGAACGGGCTTAAACTAACGTCTTCTTACTATTTTTCACGAAAAGGAAAAGAATAGCAAAGACACCAAGAGAATTTCAAAACATTCAATTGGTCACAGAGATCAATCACCTACCAGAGATCAGACCTGTCTGAGGAGGGTGACATTTTGAAAGTCAACCTCAGAGCCAACATCAGTGTTGTCATCTGGCTGCTGGTATGGCATACCAGCAGCAAGGGTCCTGGTATGCATGGTTCATGCATTTCCTCACGTTCTTGAAGGAAAACGTGCCGCACGGAACTAATTAGCTCTAAATGCACTTGTACGCGGGAGCTTGAGTTCTCTTTTTGTGTGGGGTGATTTGTGATCCAAAATTATTTTTACGAGCAGCATATGCTGACTCCTATTTTCTCTACGTGTTCAATTGCATTCTGCTCTTTTTCTTTTTCTCGTGCATACAAAATGCATACACCCGTCACACGCACCTGCTTCAAGGCCAGCTAGCTATCCAGCTTTCTGTCCTCTCGCGGTCATATGTATGTGTGTGTATATCTATTTCTTTTGGGGCCAGCCAGCGAGTCACGAAACCTGTTGGCTGCCCACCTTTAAAACTCAATGTACTATCCTATACTATTCAGCATTCGTGTCCTGACTCACTCGCGGACTGTTGTGCACCGAAATACATATTGTTTGCCTCTCAGCAGAGATCCTGGTGCTTACTTATTTAACTACTAAAAATCCTTTTGCCCGCAAAGTACGCGGAAGACAATTGTGAAAATCCAGGATAGAATTAGTTATTCCAAGATTCGAGGTCGGTAACAAACTTACCATTAGACGTAATAGTAAGCATTTGTTTAAGATTCACCGATTCTTGCATTTCTTCAGGAAATAGGATAACAAATCCGTTAATAACCTTTCTGCGGCAAAGTTGGACTTTTTTTTTGAAGATTTTGGATGTACTCAAAAGTGGAATTAAAAAAACCCCAACACAGTGTGTGCATGGCAAAGTTTGGAAAAATCCTGGCATTTTTTATATTTTCCACAGAAAAATTTCACCTGAAAATGAAAAAATGAAAACTTTAAGGCTCCCTTTTTTCCCCTGGCCTTGTGCTGTTTCTCCATTCAAAGATTAAATTCAAGCTTGAAAGCCAGGAGCACAAGTTAGAGGTCTATATGGAAAAAGTCCAACTCAGGACTTTTCCAGCATTTCTTTATCCCCAGATAAAATCTGACTTTGCCTTCCCCCACCTGGCAATAATTTTGTGCAAAAATGTAATGCAGGCCCATTGGGAAAAAGTCCAACTTTGCCCTGGGATGGAAAGGAGGCTGCTGTCATCTAAGGGTTAAATCCTATGGCATTTTAATTTTTAGAGAGTTTCAAACAAACACATGATCAACGAGTGGTTTTCTGCATCACATGAAGCTACCATTGAACCTCTGTAACTCAAACCTTCCCAAATCAAAAACCTAACTACGTCAAATTTTTTTAGAGTCCCTGTTGAATTCCCCAAGGAACAATGCATTAAAAACCTCCCTAACTCAAAACTTTTTCCTCTGAAACCTGCCTAACTTGAATTTTTGGAGGCCTTTTGGCTATTTATTCTTGATAAAGGAAAGAAAGAAGCAAAAAAAACATGCTTTCATGTATTTTGAAAGAGGAAAGGAAAGACTAAATGGGGCAAATTTAGTCCCTACCTCCAGCAAGTACAGCATCCTGTCAATTTATTTCAGATGCATGCCCAGAATATCATCATTTCCAATTTNATTAGTCGGGTTCAAGGGGACTTCAGGTACCATGGTTAATGCGGTTAAAATGGGGGAATAACCCACCGTCACTGCACTGGGCTTTTCCAAAGTTTTTTCAATCTCAGGCACCACAGGAACAGAATACAAAGTCTGTTTTATGGTCAGCTCTGGAAAATAGGTTATTTTTATTCATTTATTTCTGAGCAGCAAATTAATTTACTTTAATTCACCTGTGGTGGAAACCTCTACTTTTTGACCTGTCAACGTCCCTGAAACCGTCATGGTGTCCGTCAACAACGCTGTAGTGCGGGTCCGAAAAACCTCTGCTGGATCCTTATCGGCAACACCCCCGCACAATTCCCAGGGCGAAACAACCCTGCGAATCGCCGGCGTTATCTTCCCGACGCAGCGAGTCCGAGCGTACAATCTAACGCTCTAGGAACAAAAATAACATCAAGCGTCATTTTCACTGATCAACTAGCAACATCTACCTTCAACATACCGAAAGACCGTAAAACCGCACGCAGTTAAGGTCCAAAACGCGTCCAACAAAGTCCACTCCAAACCCAAACGCCTCCGAATCCAAAACGTCTTCATCACAAACGTTTGAACAGACGAAGGCGCCATCTTGGATGCCACACCTGCCCGAAACTTGATGACTCGCACTCACGAGACACCAACACAGCAAACCAAACTGGAAATCATTGAAATTTTACGTTTACCGCGGATTTGAAAAATTGTCTAAGGGACTTGCCTTGTTAAGCCACATTGCGAGATTTTTCGACGGCTCTTCCACGATTTTTTCGCACGAACTTGTTGTTTCTTGCCTACAAATGCCCAAACAAATGTTTTTAGTAGGCATCATTACGCAATTTCCTTGATTTTTGCGACCAAGTTTTGCGAAATTCGCGAAATCGCCGATATCGCCGATAGCTTCGCGGGCGTAGCGATCCACAAATATCAGTTATTTTATCGCCAAAAAAACGCGAGAACGGGCTTAAACTAACGTTTTTCTTACTATTTTTACGAAAAGGAAAAGAATAGCAAGGACACCAAGAGAATTTCAAAACATTCAATTGGTCACAGAGATCAATCACCTACCAGAGATCAGACCTGTCTGGGGAGGGTGACATTTTGAAAGTCAACCTCAGAGCCAACATCAGTGTTGTCATCTGGCTGCTGGTATGGCATACCAGCAGCAAGGGTCCTGGTATGCATGGTTCATGCATTTCCTCACGTTCTTGAAGGAAAACGTGCCGCATGGAACTAATTAGCTCTAAATGCACTTGTACGCAGGAGCTTGAGTTCTCTTTTTGTGTGGGGGGATTTGTGATCCAAAATTATTTTTACGAGCAGCATATGCTGACTCCTATTTTCTCTACGTGTTCAATTGCATTCTGCTCTTTTTCTTTTTCCCGTGCTTACAAATATGCATACGCCCGTCACGCGCACCTGCTTCGAGGCCAGCTAGCTATTCAGCTTTCTGTCCTCTCGCGGTCATATGTATGTGTGTGTATATCTATTTTTTTTGGGCCAGCCAGCAAGTCACGAAACCTGTTGGCTGCCCACCTTTAAAACTCAATGTACTAGCCTATATTATTCAGCATTCGTGTCCTGACTCTCTCGCGGACTGTTGTGCACCAAAATACATATTGTTTGCCTCTCAGCAGAGATCCTGGTGCTTACTTATTTAACTGCTAAAAATCCTTTTGCCCGCAAAGTACGCAGAAGACAATTGTGAAAATCCAGGATAGAATTAGTTATTCCAAGATTCGAGGTTGGTAACAAACTTACCATTAGACGTAATAGTAAGCATTTTTTTAAGATTCACTGATTCTTGCATTTCTTCAGGAAATAGGATAACACTCCTGTGAATGTTGTCATCCCTTCCATGTTTCAATTTATCATTAAGGCCCAACCTAATTCTCAAATGGCCAAGAAAGAAGGTGAAAATGTTTTTGTAGAAAATTGTGAAGAAAATGGAATACAAAAAAGGACAAAATAGTCGATTCATCAGCTGTAACCGTAGGTCATCCAAATATATAATTTTACTCACGTAAGTATCGAGGTTATTTGCAAAGTGGAACCGAAACTATGAGACAAAATAATTTACGGGTTTCACAATAATCTGACAAACAACAAGCAATAAGTACCGCTGAAAAAGCTTTCAACTTTTCGCGATGAGGAAATTGGACCAACAGCTCCATCTACACATTTCTTCGAACATCCATTGAAAAACAAAAACAGTGATGCGGTTCTGAAAATCAGTTTAAAAAATCATTTTATTTAGGCCAATCGGGTATTCTTGCGAATATAAGACGAATTTCCCTAGAAAAATTGGGAAGAATCTGGTGAATCTTATATCCGAAAGTCAAATGTTTTATTCCTTCTGTAATTTGAAATGAAGTTCACATTACACAGCACTCGGAAGATCCGCGATAACATTTCAAATTAAAGTAAAATACAGTATGAGCACGCGGTACATGGAACATCACGTACGTTTCGAGATTAAGCTATGAAGTATAGAGCTCGGGTATATAGAATATATATTGACCAATAAACCGATCTTGAAGAATTTCAATTCAATGAATGCTTGTGTCGTAGATTTGTAATCAAAAAATAATAATTTTGCTTCTCGAAGCATAAAAACATCCCAGTTCTTATATTAAATCGATGTCATAATCGCCTTATTCGCACTCAGAAGTAGTGTAGCTGAGTGAAGTAATATCAACGATAAAGATGGTTTTAACAAATTGTCAAAAAAGAAGTGATTTGAGAAACAAAATCTCGTTCTCTTCGAAAGCATGATGAAATCTTGCTGCTGAAAGGACCTTTCGGCAATACCTGGAGAACAAAACCAAGTCTAGCGTCTCCTCGAGCCAAGCGACAACAAGCGAACAACGTCACCAAGAGGGACTCATTTGTCAAAATGCAGAAACGTTGGGAGATGGAAGTCGAAACATCGGGTAGCTCCCAAAATCAGCCATTGCTCAAAGAATGGAAGGGGATGCACTTGACGAAAAGGCTGCGTTGTGGTGAAATCCGAGGAAGCAGTTCGGAATTGTACTTTGATTATTTATCTCCTCATCACCGTCCTGTTTCATGTTCCCGGGGTTCTGGTTTAGCACACTGCGGTGGCAGGAGAACTCATAAAAATGCTTCAAGTGCCCATAGAAAGTGACTTATGGTCTGTTATTATCTCTTGTTATGTTTTTTTTTACAGGAAAAAGAAAAACAGGCTCCCTTGAATGCTCCCGAACTTCGCATGAATTTTTTTTGAAGCACTCTGGTACCATTCATAATTGCATATTGCACTGTAATTGGAAAATGGAAGAAGTGAAACTGGTCATTTTAAGTATATACTGTACAAGCTATTCGCTATACATAGTGGAAGCTGAATCAAATAAGAAAAGTGCATTAGATGCACAAAAATTAACACAACATCATGAACTCTCTTCCCACTTCTGCAGAAGCATTTCATATATTTGAGGTCAAACTTTCCTGATTTTTAAACCCAGTGAAAATGGCAAATATTAAAGCAAAAAGGTGTCTGAAAATCTTGAATCCTCATCAATTACTCACTGGGAGTTTTGCCTCTCAGCAAAAAAAAAGCTGAACAAATTTTTTCATCAAATTGGCAGCATAAAATAACAGGAATGCAATCTAACACACACTCAAGCAAGACTTGATAGCATTTGTACATCGATTTCAAAGAGTGAACTTGCTGTGCATGGATACTTGCGGACTTGAAATTGTTCTCAAAAAAACGGTTTAGTTTTGCTTGAAATCCTTTCCAAAAATTGACTTCTTTCTCTCCACAACCACAGGATGCATTTTAATTGATGGATTGAGACAATATCATTCAAACCAGAAAATTATGCAGGCATCCTGGAATTGGGCATCATAACTGTTTAGCAGCATGCAAGGAATAGATATCCAATATCTCATGCTTTAATGCTCTGTAGAGTTTCAGTATAGGTGACATGTAAGAGGATGCCTGGTCAGGTGGCCTCCAGGACTACATCCCAAGGGCATCCCTTGAGAATTGAGTCAAGAAAAACATTTTGCTTCTAATAGTTTGGGGCTACTGATGCTCTGGTGTGTGGCGTTATGGCCACATGCAAGACATAAAAGGATACATTTTATATACAGTATATAAAGTTCAGAAAGAGGCAAACAGTTCAGGCTTTAATTGAGCTCAGGAATCCTGCCAGAAAACCAAGTATTTATGCTTCAGCTGCCAGGAGTCATTTTCCTTGAGCCCTGGCCAACTGCGCTCAGTTCATACATTCATCTATACAGGCTATTTGCCTAACAGCCTTGGACACTGGGGAACCCTGTCATCAAAATGAATCAAGCACAAGCTCAAACAGTTACATGTCAGCAAACAGACCTGTCAGGCAAGAGGGTCCCCTGACTAGGAGTGTGATGAACCTATATTCACCAACAGGCTCCATCCCTGGGATCATGTTGTCACACAGATTCAATGCAATTGAAAATGTTGGCCAAAAGGCTCCCAATATTGGCCAACAGACACAACACTGATAGACCCTGTTGGCCAACATGAAAATCATTGATAATATGAAAAGCCATGTTACCAGTGTTTAGGGTGATACATTCAGGTGAAAAAACTATACTCTTAAGGAATGGATGTTCATATCACCCTCATTGAAATTTTGACATGGCAGCACACATCAGACCATGTAGAGAAACCACAGGGCTGCTCTTGATATAATTTCTGTTATCTCTGTATGCATGCATGTGTAACAAATGCAATTTGTGTCATTTATCAAGCTCAAAATGAAATGCTTGGTGCAGATTTAAAAGTTCTGTATCAATCTGTAGTATTGCATGAATGTAATACTGTACATGAAACCTTTTTTTCCTACATTAAGCAAATTTTTGGGCAAGAATCAATGCTTGATGACAGAAGAAAGACATTCTGAAGATTTTGTCACACAAACCAGAAGTAATGCTGTAACCTCTGCCAGTGTCACTACTATCAAAACTTGACACTGTCCAAGAGTCACACAGGAACTTTATACTGTACTGGATTTCCCTTCCAAAATCAGTAGAAAATGTGTAGCATATATGTGTGTCTGGAGGTAAATAGTGCCATGTATTGAATGCAAGACTCCAGTACCAAAACAGACATTCAGAGCCCCAGAGAAGCAGCAGCAGTAAGATGACATATATCTCTGAAAGATGAATTAGCCCAGTGTTTTGCTGATCATCTTCTTGTGTCATCATCCAAAAAGATGATCAGCAAAACACTAAAGAATAGAAGTATTCAGGTAACAAAATTTTTGTTCCTTCACTTCTGGAGAGTCTCATTTCAGGGGAATGTTTTCAAACTTCAATTAGACTGGGCTCCAGGATGAAAATAAGAGCAGACCTGCTTGATTAAATGCTATAAGTAGGGAGAGATGTGGCTTCTCCCAAGTGTCAATAGTAAGGAGATGGAATGCAAAATTTTCCCAAGATATGGAAAAAGAATCTTGTCAGTGGTTTGGGATTTTCATGCATTTGATTGTGAAATGCAAAAATAGACTGATATTAATATTCTCCTATTTATGCATAGAAATATATTTTCCTGGTCTGCATGGCCAATTCAGACCAGAAAAACATAAGAATCAGTGTAAGAACTGAAGTGAATTGAGATCTTATGAATGCAAAGTGCAACAATTCAGGTGAATGATGATGATTTTGGGATGTTGCAAGAAAGGTAAAGTGGATGAGGCACAAGTGAAGTAGATGAGGAAGAGGTAGGATGAAGTAAAGATTGAGGAAGAATGCCTGAATGATACAATGAAGCTGCTGGAACAGAAACACAAGCAAATTGAACATCAATTACATTGTAGGTGAGTTGAGTTGCAGCATAATTTCTGATTGGCAAATAGATTAATGGGCTTGTCTTATAGATCCGCAAGAATTCATGAAGGAGATCAATTTAATTGATGTTAGCATATAGAAGACTGAAGGATGGAAAGCCAAATATCTTGCAGAAAGAGATGTGATAGTAGATAGAAGGTTGAATATTGAAAAACAATTTACAAAAACAATGAGGACTAGAAAAATACCTAGAAAGATTGGTTATTGGGAGTGGGAGCTGAGGTTATTCATAATTGACATTGCTTGTCACATGGAGACTCTTCAAATTAAATGTGCATTGCACATTCATAAATGCTACATTCCTCAGAGCAAGGTAAGCATTAAAAGAGCCAGAAACATGCTAGCAGATCAGATGTTACTTTCAATAAAAATATCCTTCTGAGCTCTGGATTCAAAGTGAGTGGCATTATTGCAAAATAAACCAAAAAGCCTATGTAGTTCCATTTGGGGCTGCTTCAGCCATATAGGACTTTGTTGGAAAAAAAACCAGCTATATAACATAAAATATTTTGAGTCATTTTTTATGAAGGCTTGAAAGGCAAGGTTGATCTCATCACTGGAGAGAAAATTCTATTTTACAATGAGTGTTTTCACATCCAAAATCCTGTTTTCCCTTCAGCTAAAGTCTGGTTTGGTCATTCTCTCCTGAAAAATGTTCCCAGGTGATATTCTTAGTGTCAACAATCATATTTCATGCTGTTATCCTATTTTTGTTATTTTTACTTTAGAACAACAACAATGAATAAAACTAAGGGAACGTTAAAGAGTGTCTGACTCTTTTTAGAGGATCTTAACCCCTTGATTGCAGAGAGGTGTTTGCCAACAATGCAAATCCTTAAAAACAATAGACAGACTTTTCAACCAAATTGTTCTTTATTCAAGCATAATAAGCCAACTTGCAAATACCAAGACAAGACATCTGGAGGGCAGCCTAATTGAATCTCTGACTCTTGAAGAGGATCTGTGATCAACTGACTTTTGGGAAGCAATGGTAGGGTTTTTATATTGCTAGACTTGGGGGCTGGTTCTGGCCATGTACAAGAAAGAGGTCACAAGTCTAGACAAAACTTTGTGTTTTACCATTCTAGAATCAAAAGACTTGGGTGCAGAGGCAACTCAGTTGCAAAAGGGTATCCAGTTACTCAGAGTCTGGGTTCAATGTTTTAGTCTTAACTCAGTACCATGATGACTGTTCCTGGTTGTTCTTGTGGACAAAGTTTCAAGCAAAGTTTCAATCTTGAGAAACAAAGTTTCAAGCAACAGATTTATGGATGGCTGCAGTTATTGTAAACAAATAATAAGCATGAGCATCTGTGGAGGGAGTTCCACAAAAGGCGCTGGTGACAAAAAGCTCACCACAATTGGTTTTGGTGGATTCACACAACATGTGAAATCTGCTGAATGGAAAATACCATTTGTAACAATGCATTAACAAGCTTTTTCAAGATTAGATTGAATATTCCCAGAATATAAACGAGGTTCAAACATTTTGAGTGAATGATCAAACATTTTGAGTGAATTGTGTTTGTGTTTACCACAAAAACATGAATAATATATACATGTATTGATATATAGTAATTCACATCACTTATTGTGCTTATATAGAATTACCCTTTAAATTTATCAAAATAATTCATCCATATTTTAGGATTCAGTTCTGGAATTGGTGCAGGCACAGCTTGGCTCTTTTGAAAACTAGTCTGTACAGAATGAATGACAACAAATCTTGAACAATTTGCCAAAACGTCATCACTCTCAGTGCAGACAAAAGCAACATTAGTTTAAATAATAACATCCTTGGAGGATGACAATCTTGTTGGAGCTGAAGTACTTACTGATGCTAGACTGTGAGCCCCTACCATCAATCTGCTCATATGTCCTGTACCAATCACTCTCTCTCTAAATTGAATGTGTGGGCACAAATGCTAGAGAATCTGGTCATTTCAAGTTTGAAGTGATATGCAGTCAGAGAGAACAGTGTGCTCTTCAGCTCTCCATCCATCATCAGAAGAATAAAAGAGGACAATGGAGGGTAGCAGGCTATTCAATTTGCTGACCCAAATGCATGCATCACATGCATGTGGAATACCACAGGCATAATCTCCAATGAGCTACAAGGTCAGGCTGGTACGTGAGGAAAGGAGGGGCAAAGAGAAAGGGACAGACACAGAGCAAGTGATGGGAGCTAAGCTCCTTTTTGTGGACAACAGTGTACATGTTGCATTTGTTTGTTGTGCTCGTAGACCCTTGCTCATTTACATTTGAAAAAGAATAAGGTGAAACATTTTGAAATTTGCACAATGCCACAAAATGTGTGGACAATTCCCAAGATCTGAACACAGCCATAGGCTGTGTGAGGAAGTATAACACATGAAAATAATCCTATATTTTACGCAGTCAAACCTTTCTAAGTCAAACTTCAAGGGACCAGCAAACAAATTTGACTTAGGAAGCTTTTGACTTAGGGAGGTTTCAAGTGAAAGATGTTTCAGTCATGGGACCAAGCCTTTTTGCTGAGGGAAAAAATTCAAAAATGGAACACAATGGTAAATGGTGATATTCTGGGCCTTAAATTGCTTGTAAATTGAGTTGAAGGATGCTTAACTTATTGGAGGAAAGGGTTCATTTGACCAATTCAGTCTATCATTTCCTTTCGAAACACATAAAATTCGATTTTTCTTCCTTTTCTCTTTCCTGTGTCAAGGAAATAATGGCCAAAAGGCCCCAGAAAGTTCAGCTTCAACATTTCTTTATTAGCAATTCATCAGAATTTTTCATGAGATTAATAAATGCTCTCTCACTCATTTATTACCACAGTATAATTAAAAGTAAAGGACACACATTTGTAATGGACAATTTTTTCCTTCATTTTTTTCACTGCATCAAAATCTGGTTCTTGGAAAATGAACATTTGTTCACCACTTAGTACTTGAATCAACTCAATTTTGCCAGTACTGAACTTGTTCAGATGTAATACAGCTGAGAAGAAATGAACAGCTCTAGCTCCAAGTACTAACAGTCATTGCTGGTGGTTTCTTTTACTTACACCCAACTTTCAAATGCTGTCTCACTTCAAAGTGGAACATTGATGCCAGTGTTGAAGAAGTCAGTCATTTGTGTTGGTTGAATTTTGTTCTAGTTTCAGCAATTGTATTTTCAGATTTAAGGGGTACCATTTTCACTTGAAATCAAATTGTGCTGTTTCTTCAGTAAGGTGAAAAAGAATTGAATCTTCAGATTCTTACTTGTCTTTGATACTGGGCAACATTCAAGAAAAATAAGCATGATACCAAAGAGAAAGTTCCCTCAATGCATTACATTTGGAATTATGCTTTGCCTGGGAGTATCATTCCTGTCCAATTATCACTCAGGATTTGGAAAGTTCCACAAAATGGAACTATGCCCACTTGGTCTCATTCCATCAAGTAAATATGTTGCCTCAGTGCTTCATTACCAAATTTTTAAAAATGGTTGTTTTTCAGCTCATGAGAGAAAAATTCATACTGGTGATGAAGGCTATGAAATGAAGCTGGAAAATACAACCTGGGAGGAAGTCATTTATCAGCATAAAAATGTGCTGATTGGAGGAAGCTATTTTCCAAAAACCTGCATCTCTGCTTATAAACTGGCATTGATTGTGCCATACAGAGACAGAGAAGAGCATTTAAAAATTTTTCTAATGAATCTCCACCAGCTACTCCAGTATCAGCTTAGGGAGTACAGGATATTCATTGTGAATCAAACAGGTATGAATTAAATTTAATGGTCAAACATACTGCATAACATGCATTTTGATTAACAAGCTTTTTTGTCTGGAAAGGATGTATTGGCTACTATAGGAAACCAAAATTTGGTGAATGAACTTCTGTGTAGGATACCATAGAAGTTCAACATTGCAGTGAAATGACAATGTTTGTTAATTATCACACTGATATGAGTTCTTGTATACTCAACTTTTTTAATTTCTTGGTATAGAGCATTGATAATTATTTCATGCAATAAATTGTATATGCATTCTGTTCTGTATTTCCCATTATGAACTGTGACCATGTGTGATTCAAAATTCAACCATTTGTTATTCTGAATCACTCTAATGCAGTTCCTGGCAAAAAAAAGCTCTGCTTCAACAACTGTTTCTTGCTTTGCAAAAAGTCTGCTTTGATGCAGGGATTTTGAGGAAAAGACAAAAATGTACTCAGTGTTAAAGTTTTGACTGAGTTTGGAGATTTAGTAAACAATAAGGAGGCCAATTTCAAGAAAAAGAATTTAAATAGGATTTAAAACGTATAGAGTAAGAACAAAATAAGTTCCCACTTTCACATGGTATGAAATTAGTGACAGGAACAGGTTACTTTTTCCAATTGCAGTCTTCAGGAATGCTAGCATCAAACAGAAATGTTTACTCTGTAAGGAACTTAATCTTATCCCAGGATTGTATGTATTTCTTGTTGTTGCTAAAAATTATCCTTAAATCCATCCAATCTTGCAGATGACCTTCCATTCAACAAGGGGACGTTGATGAATGCTGGAACTCTGGAGGCAGAAAAGCTGGGGAATTATGATTGCTTCATTTACCATGATGTTGACTTGATTCCTGAAAATAAAATGCTTCCATATCAATGCTTCCCATGGCCCCTTCATATGGCTATCTCTGTGGAAAAGCGCAAGTACAAGTAAGTTTAATACAAAATCATTTTAATCATGTATTCTGAAGGGAAAGAGAGTGTGCTGTGTGGTGAATACAGTGGGACCCTTCATAAAAAATGATATACTCCACCACTTTTCCACATTACCAAATCTCAGTGAAAAAAGCAAAATCATCCACAGATGATAGGTTTTAAAGGCTTCAAAACTATTTCTGATGAACAAAATTGGAATTGCTCAACTTATGAATTTACAGATCTCAGAAAGTTGAAAGGCAAAAAATGTCAGGATTACCTCAATAAAAATGCTTCCAAATGCAAAATTTCAAATTGATGACCACTTATGAGAGAACCCAATTGTTAAGGTATGCTAATGATATTTTTTAAATGTGAGAATGAATAGAAAATACCTATGGTGTATTGTAACATAAATCATGTTTTCTACAAATGCAGTGTTGCATGAAAACTCACATTGGAATAAATTTACTTTGTAAGGCGGTTACTTCATGCTCTGTTTTTTGACCAATGCATTCATCCCTACAGAGTACCAGCCCATTTTACTTATGCTGGTGGAGTGCTGAGTGTTTCAAAGGAAGTCATTTACAAAATAAATGGATACAGCAACAATTTTTGGGGCTGGGGCTCAGAAGATGATGACATTTACAACAGGTGAACCCAGATAACCCTTTGTCTTTCCCCCATTTTCTTGATTACTATTTAAACAATTGGACAATTTTTTGGGGTTGTTTATTTCATTTCCTGCTCCTTGATCAATTTTTGCTGGTATAACGTTTTTGGGATCAGTTTACAGCTTATATTATTTAACCTTCAGAAAGTTGCCAGCAACATTGCTTTTCTGTTGGTAACATTGCTTTTCTGTTGCCTTTCATCTCCATTTATTATCTTTTCACATTGATCAGTTTAAAAATCATAAATCATGTGAGAAATTATGGAGGGGTTTATTTTATATTTTTGTCCCATTCTTTCATGTATGAGGAATAGTTTTGTTATCAGATTGCTTCCTTATGTGTACTTCAATTCTACATTTGATTTGAACATGTGATCCATCTACCATGAGATCATCTCAGAAGAAATCTTCCTATTACTGTTTACTACCATTTTGACTACTCATCTCTAGCAGTGGCACAAAATCATAGCATTACCACTCCATCCTCCAAAATGTTAATATTGTGCACCAATGTTTTACCAATTGATTACTATGATCAGCAGAACAGTTCTTGAACAAAAATGCATGAAAATGACACTTCAAGTATGTTTCCTTTCTTGACAGATTCATTGATGGAGATTTGAAAGTGATCAGGTACCCACCTCATGCAGGAAGGTACAGATCACTGCCTCATGTTCAAGCAAAAGAAAACCCCATCAGGTATATTTTGTAAACCACCAATGCTCAAATTTGAATACTTGAATGAATGTATGGTTTATTTTTTCATTTCTCCCATTTTAGGCATCGAATTGCAAAACAGGAAGACTTCAGGAAGCATGACAATGGACTTTCTAATGCAAATTACACAGTGATGGACATTAGATTGCACCAGCTGTATACTGTCTTTGATGTGCACATGGGATCCAATAGAACTCACATATGATGCGTTTTATCTAACATAGAAATATACCATCATAATTCCCTTCTCTAAGCATTCTCTGAAGCAAGCAACTGACATACGCAACATTCAGAAATTATGCAAATGAATAAAGTAGAAAATGATTACATTCTTGAGATGAATTTTTTCATTTTTCCCATTTCTAAAGTTACATGTTTTATTCAGAATTAGTTCCACAGTTGATTAAAACAGTTGATTCATATGATTTAACAATGGATGTGGCAATGTTTTCTCACACACAGATTACTTCATTGTCAACAAACACAGCAGGAAAGGAACCACAGAATTTTTCCAAAATGTTGCACAAAAATCCAACAGAAGCTTCTTATTTTGAGTGGTTCCAATTTGAGTGAAGTTTTTTTTTCAATTATCATGATATACATGTTGGAATGTGTTCTGTTCAAACTATTTTTTGTTTAACTTTTTGAAAACACTATCTGCCCAGCAAAGAATGGGGGCGTTGGGCTAGGGAACATTTTGACATTGGCATTGGCAACGCCGTTGCAGCGCCATTGTCTCATTGGGGCTGATTGCCTCCAACGCCCTTTTCTTTATTGACGTTGGGGACACAATGAGAATGCACTGTCAATGGCATTCTCCCAACGTTGTGAAAAAATGATGATGTGTAAGTGGAGTTGGCAGCACCTTGGCAATGCATATTCAAATCGTAATTTAGAAAATTGTGGAGAGGCCGTTTTCAGTGGCATTGCAGAATCCCTTCTGAATGCCTTGACAATGGGTGCCATTTGCATTTGCGTTGGTGATTGCATTGGGAATGCATTGACAACGGGAAGGCAAGTGATTATGCTGCAGCAAAATAAATAAGGGGATTTCATTTGAAATTTTAGAATGATTGAAATAAATGAGAATAAATCAGCAAAAGTATAATGCTGAAGGAATATATTTAATTAGAAAAATATTTGATTTTATGCTGCATTTAATTTGATTTTCCCAGTCCAAAATACATAATAAATAATTCATAAAATACAGCATAAAATAACATACGAGGGTTCTAACAAAAGTTCTCGGAATGAAAATGAAGATGGCGTCTAATCAAGCTGGAAAAAAATTATCCTTTAGGGCAACCATATTCATTGGCACACAAAAAAAAATCAGCCCAGTTTGACAATTTTTTTCAATTTTTTTCAAAATTTACCCTGGCAGAGTTTTGCTATACACTCAACAGATGAGGCACCCTTCCGGCAGCTTTTTTTTTGNAATTTTGAAAAAAATTGAAAAAAATTGTCAAACTGGGCTGATTTTTTTGTGCCAATGAATATGGTTGCCCTAAAGGATAATTTTTTCCCACTCGATTAGACGCCATCTTCATTTTCATTCCGAGAACTTTAGTTAGAACCCTCGTATGTTTCACCCAATGATGTCAGTTGAACATTGCTTCATCATTGCATATCATAGTTTCATCAGCAAATCATCATTGCTTCAACAGCAAATGAATATTGTTTCTTCAGCAAATGAACATCGTTTCATCATCATTTCATCAGCAAATCATCATTGTTTATCATTGTTTCATCAGTGAATCATCATCGTTTCATCAGCGAATCATCATTGTTTCATCATCATTTCTCATAAATTATTTCATTTATATTTTATAGGAAAAACTTGTGCAAGTGACACAATGGGAAGGAAAATATGTAGACAAATATATTTTGTAAAGTGTTCAATATTTTTGACATAATTTCAATAGATTTTGCCAAAATTAAAATGACTTGAATGAATTGATGGGTTATGTGCACAATAAGATTATCACAGCAAAACATGATGTTCACAGTGATATTCAATCAAACATTGAAGTTCTAGCTGTTTCAGCTTTGAAGAATTGTTAAAAACCATTACAAAATAAAGCAATGGGTAAAATTTCCCCAAAGTTTGAAGATCTATAAAAAGTTTGCTAATTGAGATAGAAGGGTCTTTAAAAAAGCAAAATGTTCCCCAAAACAAGGGCAATCCACATGTCTCCTTGAACCAAATGATGAATGCTTGATGATCAAGCAATGTTCACTTGAACATTGCTTGATCATTGAGGGTTCATCGCACATTCATCGCGCGTTCATTGTTTAGTTTAAGGAAACATATGGATTGCCCTTGCTTTGGGGAACATTTTGGTTTTTTTAAACAACCTTCTATCTTAATTAGTGAACTTTTTATAGATCTTCAAACTTTGGGGGAATTTTTCATCATTGCTTTATTTTTCAACAGTATATAACACTTTTTTGGAGCTGGATCCAGCTGTCGGAATAAGTTTGGTTTTGAATTTGTTACAGCAAATTAATATTGAACTTCGCTGAAATTTTTCATTCATCAGCAGAATAGTTTTCAAGAAAAAATATTACTACAATTATTACATCAAGGCTTCAAACATCACGTATTCAACATCACTTCATCATCATCAGTTGAACATTGTTTGAACATCATTGAACATCATTTGAACATTGTTTGAACAGCATTTTATTAACAGCATTTGAACATCATTTGAACACTGTTGGAACATTTTTTGAACATTATTTGATCACCAGTTTCAGAAAGAGAACTTCAATAATGGGTACACAAATCAGAAAAGTCATGATGTACAAAGTTGGGACATTCTTGTATGTCCTGACTTTTCTTGCATGTCCCAATCAAGGTGGGATGCTGCAGAATGTCCCAATGTACCATTTGGAACTTCCCCTTTTGTCATCTTTGATATATTGAATCACCCAAATTTCAGGATTTATTTTTTGTAAGAAAGGTGTGCTAATAGTCTGATATATTCACATAAACCTACATCAACTTCAGTTATCCCTGTTGAAGTTCTTCACAGTTCTATATAATATGCAAGACAAGTTATTATGACCCTCTTTCCAAAACAATTGTCAACATGTCATTTTGCAATGTTCTTCAATGGATGCAGTTTAAAGAATTAGTAATTTGATGTAGTAATGATGAATATTGTTATTACAATCTTCTGTAAATTTATATTGTATCTTGTTATTAAATATTGTTTCTGTCTAACTTTTTTCTTTCTTTGTATATAGTATACTTTTGGTTTTATATTTTTTGTGAATAAACTTTTTATAGGCATGCAAATGAATATATTGAGCATTTCTTCTTTTTGTATGAATTTCTCAACAAAATCAACCTGAAGGACAGCAGCATTCACTTCAGTATTCTCTTTCTTTCCAGAACATTCCTTTCTTGATTATATTTGCAGGGCCATCTGTTGAAAATAATATAGGGCAATTATTCAGGCAAATGTAGTATATTACCCTAGAGCAAAGAATGTAGAGACATGCTGTGTTGTTGGCACAGTTGGTAAAGCCTCGCGCTCCTAGTTGTGGGGTTGCGGTTCAAATCCACAGAGGGTTGGAAAATTTTCCTTGTGTTGATTGTGCAAATGCTTGTCTTGCTTTATTTGTGTGTGGTTGTGTGTGTGTATGTGTGTGTGTGTGCATGTGTGTGTCTGGGTTTGTGTGAATGGGAAAGAAGTTGTATTAATGAATAATAATTTTTTTATGCATTTTGAATTGGGATATTGCATGATGTCCTGTCATCATCATTTCATTATAGTTTGATCATCTTTCAATGTAGTTTGATCATTGTTTCATCATTGTTTGATCATCTTTCAACGTGGTTTGATCATTGTTTCAACATTGTTTGATCATCTTTCAACGTAGTTTGATCATTGTTTGATCATCTTTCAATGTAGTTTGATCATCGTTTCATCATTGTTTATACATTGTTTCAACATCATTTGTACCTTGCTTCAACATTGCCCATACATTGTTATTACACAGTGCATCAAATTGGCACCAACATTCAAGTGATCTGCAAGCATTCCAGTTGTATTACATATCTTAGCAATGGAAGCATCAAAGGTTCAATATTCAGCAATCTACGTATTGTTTTTAGGTCTATAATATATACTCTGGGTGAATTTCACTGCAGTTTGCGCAATGTTTCTTGCAAGTGGCATTTCTCAATGCTTTGCCAGACCCTTGCCAATGCCATTCCCTTAGCGGCTGCAATCATCCTCGCCCCCTGCGTCAACAGTTTTGAACCCCATTGCCAACAGTATGAGAGTGTGTTAGCTAACGTCTGCCTCAACGTTCAGGGCCAACCCGTTAAGTGGTGACCAAGATGACGTTTTTGCAACATTCATGCCAAAATGGCATTGCATACCGCTGACAAGGCGTTTTGAAACGTCCAAATTATTTGCTGGGTGGTTGCATCCATGCTATATTGGAATGTTCCTGATCAGTTAATGAATGTTAATTCACTTATTTGATTTATTTCCTTCACATTTCCAAGTTTCACGAACAGTCAATGATTGTAATAAGGTTCTCTGTTCAATACACAGCAGCTAAGATATTGTATCCATAATAATAAGTGTTTGTTGCATACTCTGACATGGCATTGTTACCCCATTGGAGCCCCAAAAAAGGAAAACAACAGATTTGCTTCAGGGGAACATATTCTGCAAATAATTCAGTAATGAAATGTAGATATATGAAGCACACTTATATTGGGACAAATTTCTGAAATACTTGGTATTCAAGTACAATATACTCACCACCCACATTTTGGTTCCATGAGGAATGTGGGGTGGATAGTCAGGTACATTTGGAAAAGCATAAAAATCAAAAGGAAAAGAAAAACAGACATACAGCTTCAACAGTTCCATCACCTCCAATATCTCATGAAATGTGCTGATCATTACTTGGTCTTCAATTTCCATTCTTCTCCCATCTCAAGAGCTCTAAAACCTGTGGAGGTACTGTCAAAATTCATCCAGAAGTAACTACAATGAAAGCTGTACATACCTTGTATATATTTATACAAGATTTAATACAGACAACTTGAAGAGACAGTCTGTTCTTACTCTCTGATTTACAGTATCACTAAAACTGTTCAGTTTTTCTGTCAATTTTTTATAGCAGTGACACTGGCAGAGGTGAGGCATGATTTCCTCTTGGTGTACCAGAATCTTCCAGATGTCTCTTTTGCATCATCAAACATTGATTATCCCCAGGAAATTTAGCAAAATATAAAATTTTCACCTATTCCATTCATGCAATAAAAGCACTTCCACACATTCAATTTTTGAATATCCCTTGTACAGTAGTCCAATTCATCACAATACATCTCCAGTTTTACAATGTAATATTTCCACAGTTTTTCTTCATCAATTTCAGGATATCAAAATCCTTTCTGCACTACAGTCACAGTGTTCTTCCAAAGTATAGCAGGGCCAAAATCTGTAACAAGAAAATGCTTAATTGAGAAACAGATTGTGAATACTGAACTTCATTATACCTGTCAACTCACCAAGGTTTCCTGCATACCAACTTTCTTCTACAAAGTAACAACATAAAAAGATGATTGGCTATATCATACATTTGTTCCTACCCCTTTTGTTGATTTTTCAATTTTTTGCTGGGTTCACCCAGTCACCTGCAGCAGTACCATCAAAGATGGTAATGCAGATAAGAACTAGGGAAGACTCATTTTACTTCCATTCAAAGTTATTTTGGTTTAAATTTGTCACCTTTTGCATGGATTACCCTGTATGGCACAGTGAAAGATTATATTGATTCTAGCAGTACCCATAACCTTGAAAACAATTTATTATGCAGTTTCTATGGAAGAAATTGGAGAAGAAATATTAGTTTGTGATTTAGTCATGCTTTCTGATAGAAAATGTAACAACATGCATAGGAAAAAGTGCACAATTGACAATCAATCCTTGCTATGGTGCTTCCTGATTTAGTTCCACCCCTGCATAGCGCAAAAATTATCTGGAAACAATCTACCTCCACTGTGTTCTCAAGGGAAGCCCCATATTCATACAGCCAACTCACTCAGTTCCACAAAAAATTTCCTATCCTAGATTGAAAAGAAAGGCCAAAATCATAGAAATCTAGATAGATTTCCAAGGATATTGTTAGCTTATTGCAGAAAATCACATGCCCTTTCTTGGGGTAATTTTTCAATTTTGATTTCACAATTTACATTCATTGAATGATTTTATTTGAATGTCCTCTGTAAGGGACAGTTGTCACTATAGGAGTCCCATCCTATTATCAAACCACAAATTCCACTTTGGAATTCCCACCTGGCCGTCCAACATTGTTCATTTTTCTGTCCCTACTTAATTTGCATCTGTCTTGCGGTAATCTTTGTTGGGTTGGAGCTCTCAATTGTTGTCTTCAAGTGTCATTTGATATATATTCAATAACATACAAAGATCATAGATCAAGTGTGAAAGAAAGAATAGTTCAATCATCGCTTATTTGATCCGTTTAACCATGACATAATTGTAAAAACTAGACCCTTTTCGAATGAACCAAAGAATTCGGGGCTTCGGGCTTAACAAGGCATAGAAATTCAAATTAAAAATTATGCCTCAAGAGTTTAGAAGCCTCCACATCAGAAGTACGTAATCAGAGAAAGATCTTACAGGATTAATGTTGTTGGAGAGAGAGAGTTAATGCCCTCATGTAATATTTGCAAATGTCCAAATTACAAGGGGTACATATGTTTACTTCTCAGAGATCTGCAACAGACTATATGAAATGCAATTTTCAATGTGAAAAATAACCACGGTCTTACATGAACGAATTTCTTTTATATGGATAGGGCTTCTACAGTATCTACACCACTTGAGACCGGAGTATACATGGTTAATTACCAGGCAACATGCAAAATCATCATCCAGAAAAATGTCCAAGGATGCTCAATTAATGACGCATACCTTAGTCTGCTCACTTAGTCATAATTCAAGTGAAATTGATACGTAGAAAAAGGCTGCTAGATCATTGGAAACTTAGGCACTTTGAGGTTGATAATCAAGTACCACTCTTTAAAGTAAGTTCTGTGGTCGATTTCTGCCTCGCGCCAAGGAGATACTGTATTTCCATCACTTGCTTGGTTCATGAAACATTGCAGGCATTTAAGCATAGGATTGATGTTCATAAAACTATTCAAATCTCCGCAAGAAACGCACATAGCTGTTCACACCCTTAAAACAACGATTTCACTTTCTGCTTCACAGAAAAAACCACTTCCCACAAACCTTCAGTGCAAACTAGAAACAAAAATTTCCGCATACCTTATTTTGGCGTCGGCTAAGGTTGAGCAGATTTCTCTGGATCCTTACATTTTGATATTCCACCATCTCATAACCAGACGCCTGGACAGACAGTCTTCAGCGAATTGGCAGGTCCAAAGGACTTCGGCGAAGTCGGCATCTGAATCCTACCAGTCAACTTGAAGAGTCATCAAAACGCAGTAGCGAACAGTGAGTAAAAACACGATTCACGAATCAAGACAAGAAAGACCCATTGAACTTCTTCTCACTAATATTAAGGGTCGGGTTGAAAAACCATGAGGATCACGTGGTGCTAAAAATATCAAAAATAATCGAATCAGTTACGGAACTCTATGTCCGAGACGCGGATGCAGCAGAAGATTTGCAACTCGCGAATTACGGAACCGGAGGACATTACATCGTGCACTCGGATCACATCCGTGTCACAGATGCGATGAAGCATTCCAATCCACTCTTGCAACACATCAGACTACGACTTGCAACTTTCATGACATACGTGAATAATTGTATTTCTTATTTCGAACGGAATGAACAACAGGCTAAAAACAATTGTGATCTCAATTATAGCTCGAAAAAACTGGACTCGGGTTTTTAATTTTTCCCTCGAAAGAATCTTCAACAGAGCGAAACTTTTACGTTGCCAAATATTTCACTCAATTACGCGGTTGAATTCCACTATATTATTCGAACTGGCATACGGAGCATTTCATCAGAACTGATTTCATGATCAGGTTGACATTATTGTCCTGGACGGAATAACGTACGTCAAAGGAAGGGCACGAACTATAGAAATCAATTTATCTTTCTTCATCGGAACAGGTACCATTCGAATTAGAAGAACCGTCACGTGTTCAAGTTGAGAAATCCAACATTCATTTTTTGGTCATTTCATTTTCAGACATATTACGTGCAAAAGAATTCAGATCTTGGTCTGATTTTAAATGGGTCATCACGCAGCAATTATTGATTTCCCATCTCCTCCGAGATGTGCGCAGTCATCCTAGCAAACGTTTACTTGAATCTTATTTTTCCCCGAACGACGAATTATTTCATATGACACGTTATTCCACAGATCACTGAAGTCACTGCAGGCGGTTCAACGGCCTTTTCCATAGCCAGAACCGCTGTGAAATCAGAGAAAGGTTCCACGGTGTTTTGGTGGATCCTGAATTCTCAATTGGAAGAGGACTTCTCAACCCGACACGGCGGATGCCCGGTTCTTCTTGGATCAAAATGGAGTACATTCACCCTCTCCTGAATATTCAAATACAGTATTACAAAACGTAATTGACTATTTGCTCATTTCCAGTTGCGAACAAGTGGATTTTCGCCCCTGATGGTCAAATGTTCAAGAATCCATGCATCGAATCACCGTCCAAGTTTCAATCGCCGTAAGCGAGTACAATACAGTATACGATCGAAACATCGTCGGTGCGTAAGGGATGATTTGAAAAATCCATTCATCTTGTGCTTCTTTCGTTTGGGTGTTTAATAGATAGACAGTACAGCACTGAGTATTTTTGCTCATCAGAAAAAGTATCATTTTCCGATCATTATTCACATTTTTCACAGAAGGGGAGAATACAGCGTCGACGGAGCACCGCGACTGTGAAGATCAATGAAAGCTTTTGTCAGATTACCAAATTATTTTTAGTACACGACTAAAAGTAATCTTGTTGACACTTCTTCGACATTTTCCAAAAAAATTGTATTTCGATTTCGGAAATTTTCTTCGTTATCGGTGCTGATTACGACTGTTTTCTGAAACGTCACTCAGTGAACAATGCGAGGAATTCAGGAATTTTTTCAAGGTTTGTTATTGAAACAGGGGTTTAAAATATATACCGACTCGAAAACTATAGGTTATTGCACTGGATAAATTCTGTTTCACGGAATGGACAAAATGCTTGAAACGAGTCCCTATAGTTTTCCATAACATCGAAAATGGGAATAAGAAAAACAAATATTTGAAAATGCATTTAATCCTAGTTGCCAACCTTCCAATCGCGGGACACCAGAATAAATCAAAGGTAAACATCCAGCGGAATTTCTATAGAGCGCATCTTCAGCTCGAGCATCAGATCCCCAAAGATCATCTTGTACATCGACAGTTTTGTTCTGATGCCATCAGAAGATCGAGAAACTTGATCGGGAGTCAAGTTCGGCATTTCACTCCCAGCCACGCTAAAACTCGCGTCCTGGCTGCTTTTTCCCGCAACATCACCTCCGATGAATCTGCGGGACATTTCCCGCCAATTTTCACTGTAAGGCACGAGAAACCTAGCCACAATGGCGGGTATCACAGAGCTAATGTCAAAAGTTTTGCGAAACCGTTCAGCTATGAGTAATCTGAGGAAGCTGCACGCTGCTAACAACCAGGCTTCATTGTCAAGAACACTTGACCCATTCGGGAAGTCGAAAATGTTCAACAAAACTTGACGAAACACCTTCAGTCCAGATACATTTCCAGAGAGGAAGCAGTTCTTTGTTTCGCGGATCAAGTATTCGCGAATGCCGGTTTGCGTCTCGCGCTTCGTCAAGCGAGCCAACACTCTCATCTTCCCGTTCACATCGAATTTGGCACTCAAACTTTCGAAAATTCGCACAGCGGATCGTCGAACATCAGGATCACTGGCAAATGTGGCTATGGACAGAAGTTTCGAGAAATTCTCGACGACTCCAGTTGCCTCCACGTAGCTCTCATCCAAAGCTTCTTCGTCGAACATGTTTACCGACGCTTCGAGCAACAAAAACCCATAACCCACGTTCTCACTTCTCCGCCGTTCTTCACCAGATTTCGGGATTTCCAGAAGATGCTGCACCATTGCGATGAACACATGGGCTAAAAATGCATGTGAATAAACCTTTGGCACCAGATCGTGAACAAGCGTGGAATGTACCAGCCTGCCGAGCCCAGGTTTAGACACTGATATTTCCGAATTCGCCAAATAATCGTAGCACAAAACCGACGCTTGGCTTACGGCATCTCCGACGAGTCTCCGAGAAACCAATACATAGTATTTGTCCATTTCCTTATTTCGGACGGACTCGAGGATCGCAGTCGACCATGAATTCTCAGCCTCGGTCAGCACACAAAAAGCATGAAACGAAGCAGTAGTTCCTATTAGAGTAAAGCCCAGACGAAGGAACTGTGGAACGAGTCTCTCTTCTGAAATTTCGCCGAAGCTTGCGATCACTTCCAATAAAGCACAACACGCCGATTTCGCGAACGATTCACTCAGTCTTTGCTGGTGAAACAGCTGAACGAGCATCGTTAGCACTAGCATGAGCTTATCATTTGAGTCAACACGGGGGATGAAATCCAAAAATACTTCAGCAGCAATCTGCGGATCGAAAGCTAAACAGATCCGTGATCCGAGTCGCAGTGCGAAATCAAATCTGTCTGCATCCAAGACCATGATGTTGTTCTTCATGTAAGAGATTGTGAACTCGAAGAAAAGTTTCGTCGAGTCTCGAATGAGAGCAGCGGTTTCACTCAATCGTAGATCAGTATGTTCACGCAGTTTGTCATAACACACAGAGTCTCTCAAGGAATGAAGGAAAACGATTTTGCACATTGCCAATGCCTCGGGATGACTCATGGGGTTGAAGTGGAGCATGACGGGAAGTTGTTCAGAAGAACAATGCTCGCAAACGCATTTGAAGCTTTCTGCAGCTCTCTGTCGTTGACTGCCGGCAATGATGATCTCGGCAGGCTTTTTCTCACCAAGCATCTCAATAAGCTTCTCCATAACACTTCCAATGAGAATATCACTCTGAAAAAAAAAAAAAAAAAAAAAAAAAAAAAANAAAAAAAAAAAAAAAAAAAAAAAAAAAAAAAAAAAAAAAAAAAAAAAAAAAACGTTCGCAATGATCTTTCCAGAATATGTTGTTCACTCGCCGAAACGAGAGAAACTTTCGCTGCAACCGAAACTTGCGCGGACATCATCAGATTTATCAGGAATGAAAAGAAATATTGTTCATTCAGCAACCTGCTTCCAAACTTTACTGAAGTGAACAGAAAATATTACGAGTCACGGGTTTTCTCCATCATATAGAATAACCTCAAATCCCTAGAGTTTGTCAACCCAGAAAAGCAAATACAGTAAATACTAACATCACAAGAGAGGGAGAAAGAGATACCCATAAAACTTTCTGTTTCACAAAATTAACGCAATATCCGAAGTACGTCATTTACTGCGAAGAATGTGATAAAAGATTGTCTAATTACATTTGTCTACTTCATTAGCAAAAAACATCAATAAGTACTGCTCTCGAAACACAGTGATGATGAAAGAAGTTCCAAGGTAATTATTTGCGTAACCTCCATGCCTTGAGTGACACGAAAACGCAGAATCACCGGAGTGCCTTTTCAAAAGTACCTCGTCATGATGCACGAAAAGCAAGATAAGGCACTTCCAAGATGCAAACTCTCAATTTCTAATGAAAATCGGCATCGTGAACAATTCTGTGACATTGGTACAATAAATTACACTAAACCGCCTGCTGCTGAAGATCCTAGAATTTGCGAAAACGACAGCTGCGTGTTACATAATTTTCTCAATTTCAGATAATATTTTGACTAACCAAATTTTTGCTGAAGTGGAAAATGGAACGAGCATTATAAATAATCTGAACTTCCTAAATGTGAAGCATCTCCTGTCTTCCGAACAAATTTGAAGCCCACCACGCTGAACCTCACATAATGGTCCAAATCTCTTGCTCATTCTCTATACCAGTCTACAGCATTCCTACAATCAAAATCGAAGTTTTCTGCGGAAAATGAAAAGGGAAACTCGATCATTAAAAAAATTATTTGAAGTTAGCTCAAAACGGGATGTGAATAACTTGAGAAATCACGTTGGTCACTTCTTGGCAGATCTTTTCGGGAATTGATATAACATTCATTTCAAAACACAGTGCTTTATCAGCACGTGACGTACTGATTGCTGAATATATAAAGACAATGAGTATTACGTTTCTACGTTTTCGTCTTCCGTTAAATAAAATAAAATGTTTACAAATGAAATTCTTCTGAAGAGCAATAGAAAAAACTCTTCCCCAAATATACTCATGAAATTACAATTCGATTGAATACAGTATTTTGAAATAGAAGGAACTTCATGATCGGGAACACACCCAATTTCGCACTATTTTTCTTGACATCACAGGGATTAGGTTGAACTCTCATTCCGAATCTAAAAGAAAATTCAAACAATTTTTCCACTTCTTTCAACAGAGAAAAGTCGCAAGAATCCAAATCCGAAGAGTGAGGTCTACAGTATTCTGAAGCCGCTTGATTTAATTTTTCTGCATCGTAAAGAAATGTAATCGTCTTCTTTTTCGTGCTGATTCCTCCGTCTAAGAATGTACAATACTGTATTCTATACAAGTGACATTCAAATTTCGAAGAAGCCATTCAAAACAAACGATGAATAATGCACCCTAATCCGAAAATGCGCAACAATCCTTTTAGCAGAAACCAGCTTTGAAAGAACATTGAAGAACAGCTTTGAAGAACGAGGGGGAAACGAAGTTAGTAGTTCATGTCTAACCGTGGTGGAGAAATTGAACACTGCCACTGAAAAGAAAGGATTTTTTCTGAATCCTTTTTCCCCTTTTACAACACGTTTATATAAGATATTCGGAACGAAATAAACTTACTTGGTATATAATTCGAACGCTCTTGGGTTGAACACAACACACCAATGTAAGAGCCTCATTGGCAACGATTACAACTGTTCCGCGTCCTTGAACGCGTTCTCGGTTCAGAAATCCATCGACGAAGTCTTCGGTCCAACTTATTTTTTCAACCATGAAAGTGCTCGGCACTTTCAAAACGATATTTTCCACTATCTGCAACATGGAACGCATGAATGATTTTAGGATTTCGTAGAAAATGCTGGTTAATACTCACACTAGTGCTACGAGAGGATCCGTAGATTTCCAAGTCGTTTCGGTGCCACTTCAAGTATTTTACTCTCAGCTTTCCACTAGTGTATTCCCTGTGGAATTCAACTTAATTAGCCGTTTCATCCAAAGATTAACCGCATGTATACGTCTAGCTTTTTTTTACGGAAGGTCGTTGAAAAAATAAAACGGAAAGTTCTCTTTCGTTCGAAGTCATATTCATCATTCTTCGAACATCTTCATTGAGCTCGAATAACGAAGCGCATACTGTACAAAAATATAAATTTATTGTATATACTACTGTGGAATAAAGTTATACTCATTGATTCAATCTGCTATTTTGCTCTACGTGCAATTTTTTACCTTCATTCTTAGAAAAACGTTCACTTACTGTTCCCAGAAATCCTTTCAAGTTCGAAATTTCCAAGAGTTGCACCAAAAGCTGTTAGAAATTTTTTTCTTGTGTCTGTAACAATTCCGGAAAAAGCTTTCCAACAAACTTTTTCTTTTAGATCTGGTTCAACAAAATTTGAAGAAAATGTTACAACATAAAAATTCGGCACATGTGGATGACTTTCCTCTCAACGATCTCCATCTATGCGGCGAATTTTTCTGCCTCATAGAGTTCTCTATATTAGTTACATAGGTGTTCCCCTACAACGATTATTTTTCTGGTCACTTGAAGTTCGTCGTGGAAATAGAGTCCACCGAAATCTTATAATTTTAATTGCGTATATTTTCTCCTATGTTATTTCACGGGAATCAACTCACACCAAATCTTCGGACAGGGCATCGACTTCGTCATGAAAGACCTGAATGATGTCACCAGGCTCCAAATATGCCCCAAGAAGCCACGCATCTTCTTCAGTTTCAACACCAACCACAATGACTCTATCAAAAATAGGTACAAATGATGAATCAATATCAAGTAAACGTAAATCGAAATTAAAGCTTTAACCTTTTCTCGCAGTCCTGCTTGAGATGCTTCATGATGCAAAAATTCTGACCGACGTCGTCCGTTTCCGTAAGTGATGCACTTCAAACCTGTTCACTTTCCACATAACCAACTTTCCTGATGAAGATACCCAATAGAGAGGACATCATTAGGTACTTTATTCGATTTTATCCCGGTTCAAAAAATAAAGGAAGAATAAGGACGCAAATGTGAGAACGAAACGGCGCCAGAGCATGACAAAATGTCTGATTCGTCTCATCATCAAGCTTTAGAATTTTCAACTTTTGAACTCCGTCGGAACAACGTTAATTGAAGCTTTTATTTGCATGCATGATTCATTTCCATCTATTTTACAAATTGTAAACTGATGAAAATAAATCATACATGAAAATAAATGCTTCAATAAACGTGGCTCCGACGGAGTTCAAAGTACTGTACAGTACTGTATAACGGATTCGTCTCATCAAGCTACAATTTCCAAATTTTATACTCCGTCGGAACCACGTTGAAGAATTTATTTTCATGCATGATTTATTTTCATAAGTTTAAAATACGTAGCGTTTATGAAAACAAATCATGCATGAAAATAAAATGAGAATAAATTTATTTTCATTATATAAATCCGTCGGAACCAGCACGTTGAAGAATTTATTTTCATGCATGAGTTATTTTCATAAACGCTAAATATTTTAAGCTCAAGAAAATAAATTTAGCACTTTCACAGCGCGGTGAAAGAGCTCGCGATTTATTTCTTTAAATAATTCAGCAGATCGTCGCGCTTACATCAGTAATATGGCTAATGGAGCTCATCCTTTGTAAGTGGAATAAAATACTCATAATCCAAATGATCCAGTAACCAAATAATACGTCAAGATATATGGTATGCGATGGATAATCACTTGATTGCTACAAAAGCTCCCTAAATAATCAGCTCAAAGGAATCTCATCTATGGCTAATCCGTCCACATTTTTTTTGGGAATGTGATTATTCATAGACTGTCCATGAGCCAATAACTAATAATAAATGCTTTAAAAATAACAAATTTACAAAAAATCTGAAATGAGAAAAATAACTTCCTTCCAACACTAGAAACGGAATTTCCATAGCTCCACAAATTATCCTATTTCCCACATACACTTTCATTTTTCCAAGAATTATTCATTTTGATGGAGTTCATCGCCAAAAAAAGGGTTCATTAGATACGGTACTGCACTGTACTGTAAAAGTCAGTGACAGCCAGAGTGAATCATGCAAAAATTCATCACGCAATGAGTTCAATCATCCGTAAGTACAGTAAAAAAATCTAGAAAAGTTTGAGTCGCATGTCGAATAAAAAAAAATTTCATTTTTATAATTTTTCAAAAGTTTACGATTTTGTACATCTACTTCAAGATTAAAAATAAAAAACATTTGGTTCGGAAACGCGAACATCAAGTTTCCTGATGCTCATTCTAAATACACAAAAAACACTGAATTTGTTTGGAATACAATATGAAAGGAAGAATAAGGAACTTTTAAACAAACCCCGAAAACCACCAACAACATCGACATCCAAGAAAGCTTCAAAATATATCAGGGCAGTCACATGTATAACATGAAATTTAATTTTCGACGGAAAATTCTATTTTCTGGTGTTCATTTACTAAAGAAGGGTCTAGTGTGTCAAACAAAAATCAGTGACAGCCAGAGTTCATGACAAAAATATCCACCACACATTGCGTTCAATAATATCACAGTAACACTGAATACTATACTCTACAAAATTTGGAATCGCAAATCGGCGTGAAACACATATTTTACAATATTCCATAATCCAAGTATAAGTCTCGCTAAATATTTAAGCGAATTTCACATCATAAATGGGTACATGTCAGTTATTTTATTTTTTACATTTTCCAGAGTTGTAGATGGATTTCGTGTACATGAAGATTACCACGAAAAATTCCACTAAAACGGAGACACCAACATTAAAGCTTTGTGAAGTGGGACACGATCGGTGATCAAAACAAATTTTTTGTGCGTGGAAAATATGTAGATGGATTTCGTGTACATGAAGATTACCACGAAAAATTCCACTAAAACGGAGACACCAACATTAAAGCTTTGTGAAGTGGGACACGATCGGTGATCAAAACAAATTTTTTGTGCGTGGAAAATTTCACTTTCTCAACAAAAACAAGAAAAAAAACCAAAGGAGAGAGTTCGGTAGAAAAAAAAAAAAAAACACCACGCAGTGCGACCTCGGGAAAAAATCCAAAAAGTCTGCCCCTCTTTTTTTCCGTTGGATCGCTGCTGGGATCGATTTCACAAATCACCGCATGTAATGACACAGTTTGACGGCAATAATCATCTCGAGATCGCAACTTACATTCATATATATATATATATATATACTGTATATATATATATACAGAGAGACCAGTTTCAGAAAAATGAAGGAATGGGCATGGCCTTTTTTTACTGGAGACACTTTCAACCAGTTTTCTTGGCGCGCGAGGTTGTTCGGGAGTGTGCCTAGTTGGGTTACCAAGTGAAAGAGTAAGTCGGTCACCGAGCGCTGGTCACATGTACTTACTCTCTCTATACAAAGAAACGTCCGTGTGTGTTACAAAAACTCAAATCTTAGACCATTCCAATCACTCCTGTGCATTTATTTTTTGCCCTTCCCTGTGGTTTGTGTATTCACTGTATGGTGTAACCGGCGATCGTCGAATTGCGCCAATGAACTAATGGTGTTTGATGGGACAATTTCAGAATCTCGAACAAAATTAAAGGTCACCCAACTGCCTTTTCAATTTGACGTAATAATATCGCATCAGGCGGCTCTGAATTCCAAGACTCATTAGTGAACCTAGTTATTCTTGCAGGTTGCCAACGGAGAAAAATGATAGATATAATGATGTAAAATTCTAAATAATTTCCCCTAACCGAGACGCCAAAGATACAATTCAATAAAATTAAAAATTCCTTAGAAAAAAAAGACTACGGAATTCCATCTCGCCATATTTTTCACGAAAGCACACGAAATACAAAATCCACAAGTTAATTTGTTTTTCTCAACATACTCACGAAAAAATTACACGTGATATCAAAGTACACAAAAAAAAAGACTACGGAATTCCATCTCGCCAAGTTTTTCACGAAAGCACACGAAATACAAAATCCACAAGTTAATTTGTTTTTCTCAACATACTCACGAAAAGATTACACGTGATATCAAAGTACACTTTAATAAAATGAAAAATTCCTTTAAAAAAAAAAGACACCTGAAACACCTTTCCTAAAATCCATCTCGCCAAGTTTTTCACGAAAGCACACGAAATACAAAATCCACCAGTTAATTTGTTTCTCTCAACATCCTCACGAAAAAGTTACACGTGATACAGTACTCCTTTTAACCACAAAAAATTAAAACGAGAAAAAAAATCCAGTTGATAATGGGTACACATCTCTCTCTCTCTCTCTCACGGACACACACACATTAAAAAATTCCAGAACAGGAATTCTTCTGCCCCACAAAAAACCCCTACATTCGTACACAGACAATTAACCCAGAAAAGTGTGTCAGTGGTGGGGGGGGGGGGGGGACATCCTGAAACACCTTTCCTGTCTCGACCAGCAGCACAGAGAGATGTGGAACAGTTGCTTGCACCGGCGCGTTTCTCGCATTTAAAAAAAAAAAATACAAATTCAAAACTGGTACCAGGGGATAGATATCACGGTCCACCAAGTAAACCCTTTTTTTCCACGGCGGCTGTCAAAAGCCCCGGGCAAACGCGTGTAAAAGTACTGTAATGCACTCTGTATACCAAACAAGAGCAAGAGTAGCTGAAATGAAGTTCACGGATACACATTTGAACCCTACTTCAAATCAAACACGACGTCCCTGAGTCAATTTTCTTTCCCAGCAAAAGTCCCCCTTTTTTAAATATAGTACTGTACGTACTTTGAAAAAATACATTAAAAACCTCTGTTACTCCGAGGTTTTCTTCCTCAAACCTCCGAAACTGGAATTTTCTGAAGGCATTTCGGCAATTTTTTTTATTGAAACAGGAAAGATAAAAGCAATACAAATGTAACTTGATGAATTTTGAAAAAAAAAGTTTGAGAGTACAGTGTATTCGGGAAAATTAACCCTCAACTTCAAGTTCAGCATCCTGTCAACTCATCCAAAAAGTAATTAAAGGCCCAGAGTATCGATAATTGCAATTTCCTGCAATTCTTCTTTCTTCTCCCAACAAAATTTCTTGTTCCACCTACTCGAAAACTTCATTTTTTGTTGTTGCTCCCTCGTGGTTAACCTTAAAATAGATTTGATAGTAGAAGAACCATCCCGTTGTTGTTCCCTAGGTTCAGAAGATTAATGTATCCGTTTCCGGTACCGAACCGTTAATTTCCTGTTCGATGTTTTGGAAAAAAGATCAAGTTAGGTCATAAAAAACTGAGAAAGGCTTCCATGCAGGGGAATTGTTGAAAAAAAAAAACAGAACTTTTCTTCACTTCGAAAGGTAAGCTCATTTGAATTTTTAATCATCCAAAATGTCCAAAGCTTGAAATTTTGTTTTTGCAATTTTGCGGTACAAGAAATTCGAGCATGCAAAAAGTATATCGAATTTTAAGGACAATGAAATCTAAAAATCTTTCACCCAACTCATTTTCGAAATTTTGAAACTTAAAAAAAAAAGTTTATTCGGCTTATAGAAAACCTCTCTCCCTATAATCCAGCAACTTTTTTGAAAGGTAACGTATTTCGACATCTCCGCAGCTCTTTTGTCTTTTCAACTTGAAAAATTTATTGAAAAATTGTAAACAAAAATACGGCATGCTTTTGTTTGAAAACTGAGGATGACGTAATTGCAATTCATTCACGGAATGCAATACATTATTCACAAAACCCATCTAAAAGATAGTGGAAACGTCTACTCCATTCAGTGATGGCCTGAGATGGGACATAAATAATGCTCAGAATACAAATGATATACAAGAAACACGAAATATCATTCACATTCTCGAAAATTGTAGTCAACAAACTTCATCTGTATTGATTATGCTCAGTACTCGAGTAACCGGATCTTCTGCATGATTTAATAAAGCTCTATGTTGTGCTGGGTCTTTTTCCACATTGGTTAAGTTTTTGGGTTGACAGAGGGCTTAACTTTCCTACTCCTTTGATTGGAGTAAGGACTTTGTTCGAAGTAAACTGAGTTTTGGGTTCTCATTTCAAATTTTCTACTTCTAATTTTGTAAGAGTCTTGCAAAAAAAAGAAATATTTTAAAACAGTTGTCAGGATACGTTGAAGGGGTACCAAAGTTCATACATATTTACAAAAAAAAAAATGTGTATGATCTGCTAAAAATAGCTTCAAGAATTCATGAAATCTCACAGGGAAAATTAATACTTTTCATTTCTCAGAATATGGGTATTTATGGTCACTTCAAAAATAAAATTGGCTAAAAACAATATTTTCAATTCATGACCTATGAAGATCTACGCTTGAAAGAAAGCGCATTTCAAGCCATTTTAAATTATATCAAGTTCCATTTCGAAAACCAAAATCACCTTAGTCACACGCACACCTTCTTCTCAAAAAACCGAGAGGAAAAAAAACCAGATGAAATTTTAAAAAAATGCTGAAAGTTTAGGCGCGCGTCACACTTGAATATAATGGGAAATTTTTGACAGAACACTGTATTTCTAAAATCAAAACGATTAAGACATGAATTGAATCCAGGCGGAATTCATGCTCAAATTTCAATTCTAGGGTCCCTCATTTTTGAAATGTGGTAGTTTTTGTCCAAAAAAAAACTGGGGTGAGCACCTTCTTCTGGGATGGGATTTCATCAAAATTTCAGGGTTGAAAATTGGTGTGTGTGTCTCACTTAAGGGAACCTAGTACAGTGGAATCCCATTAAAATGAATCTTGCTATAAAAATGTTTTTTTTTTGTTCCTGGCAGTTTTATAAAAATGTCACTTTGATGAACTCATTCATGCTGTGATCTCATTAAGAGAAATTTTCTCCCCTAGTTATGTGCAGTGGTCATGGGGATCATTTGATAAATCTTAGGATAATTAGAAGAAAAAAAATGAAAAGGTGCAGCATTCCAACACCATCAAATCAAGTAAAACTGTCTGTCAAAAAAACTTGAGGTGCAAAAAATACACAACATGACATATTTCTTTGAAACTTTTCAGCTCCATTTCAGAATGCATGCCTTCCTTTAAGAAACATCATGTTTTCCTCTATTTGAAGGAACATATACCTATGAATGACCTGGTTTATTCATAAGAAAGTACAGTACAGTATTTATACTATTCATGATATATATATATTTTTTAAGACAAAAAGTGAAGTCATTTTTCCGTCCAAATTATTTATTCCGTTCATGATGTATAAAGTTTTCAACAGAGAAGTAAAGTATTCTTTATGTCATGAATAAATAATACTGTCCAGAACTTAATGGAGAAAACCTTCAACTTAACAGTATTCATTGACCATTTCCCATAAAATGTCATACAAAAATGCGTTTAAACCCTAAATCTTGATACAAATGAATTTCTTGTTTCAAAAAGTTCTTTAAAGGTCCCTGGGAGTTTGTTGTACCAACTGTACAAAATAAATATGGTAATACTATAATCATGGTTGTCTGAATAAAACTAGCAGCAGAAGTACCTAAAAGATTTTTCCAAGAAAATTCGAGAAAATCTGTCCTAAAAGATAATTGATGACATAAATATTTTCCCCTTTGTAGGAAACTATACAAAGGTCATTCCTTTTACAGCACACAGTTCAAACAATCAATAAGAAGGTGTCCCACTGAGCTGAGAGCCAACAGAAAAGACTCATCATAGCTATTATAATACTGGACTCTCTTCAGTACAGTGAAAGGATTGATGGCCACTCCCCGACATTTTACCACATTAAATTATTCAGAGCACACCTTTCCCCTGGTCATTAAAAAAAAACCACCACACGTCAGGGCTCGACGTATCTCAAAATATTTCTCTTCTCTTTCTCCTCTCTTCCTTTGGACCAGTTATTAATTAGTGCATCCTCACGACTTCCTCAAACGGCTCCTTCTCGAAATCAGTATATAGCCAGTCTTTCCTCCAGACCAGAACAGAAAAATAAAGAAGGAAAATCTCCGTGGTGCAAAAGACGTGTACATCTCGGAATTTCATTGTTGAAGTCTCGTTTTTTTTTTTTTTCTCGAGCGCAAGGAAAACGTGAGGCTGTTGAACCTTGTAGGAAAACCGGCGAGGGAAAGAAAAATAAGTGGATCACGCGTACGTCCGTACTGTACTACCAAAGGCTATCTGTGCGCAACGAGGAAAGAGAAACTGTGCCAGTGACCCAAGCACCTCGATTTGCTCATCCCGAATAAGACCCACGCAGTCCGTGACCTTATTTTCCGGATTATAATGGAAACAATAAAAAAAATCACCATATATTGCGTGGCCTTTTCCGGATATTTTCCCCTCTTTTTTTTGGAAAGTGACGAATGGTTATTTTAATTGCAAGTGGATTGAAATCTGGTGGTGATTTTTTATCCGTTTATATCCACTCGAATAAAACATTTCATCGCATTAACAACAAGACAAGATGAGGTGCAATCAGAAATTTCATGATATTGAAGTCGAAGGAAAGTTCGAGTTTAAAAAAGAAGACCACAGAATTCGTGACCCAATTCAGTAAAAAAAATATTTCACAGTACAGTAAAACAATTCAAATTCCTCACGTGCCCCTTTTCAGACGTTTTTCTCATTTCTAGAAGGTGACAAAGGGTTATTTTAAGTTCAAGTGAATTGAACTTCGGTGGACCATTTTTATCGGACTCGAAGTAAAAATGAATTCCATCAACATCATTCAGTATCAAATTGAACTTTAAAGAAATTCGCGGACGAAATTGATAAGGCAAATAAGACTCACAACTTTCGGTGACCTTATTCTCTGAATAATAATGGAAATTATGAAAAAAAATACCACGTATTTTGTGTCCTTCTCCGGATATTTCTCTCTCTTTTTTTGGAAAGTGAGGAATGTTTCTTCTAATTGCAAGTGGATTGAAATTTGGTGTTGATTTTTTAACCATTTATATCGACTTGAATAAACAATTTTATCGCATCAACAACAAGAGAAGATGACGTGCAATCAGGAATTTCATGATATTGAAGTCGAAGGAGAGTTCGAATTTAATTTTTTTTAAAGAACACAATTCGTGACCCAATTCAGTAAAAAAAATATTTCACAGTACAGTAAAACAATTCAAATTCCTCATGTGCCCCTTTTCAGACGTTTTTCTCATTTCTAGAAGGTGACAAAGGGTTATTTTAAGTTCAAGTGAATTGAACTTCGGTGGACCATTTTTATCGGACCCGAAGTAAAAATGAATTCCATCAACATCATTCAGTATCAATATTGAACTTTAAAGTTTAAACGCCTGCCTACACCTATTTCGTTTATTCTGAGTGTTGAAAGTCACTGGAATAAGAGACTTATTATTACCTTTACTACTTTTTTATGGTGCATAAAACACAGGAAGAGGCCTATAAAGAGAGTCTTTTTTTTTGGAAAGTGAGGAATGTTTCTCCTAATTGCAAGTGGATTGAAATTTGGTGGTGATTTTTTAACCATTTATATCGACTTGAATAAACAATTTTATCGCATCACCAACAAGACAAGATGGGGTGCAATCAGAAATTTCATGATATTGAAGTCGAAGGAAAGTTCGAGTTTAAAAAAGAAGACCACACAATTCGTGACCCAATTCAGTAAAAAAAATATTTCACAGTACAGTAAAACAATTCAAATTCCTGACGTGCCCCTTTTCAGACGTTTTTCTTATTTCTAGAAGGTGACAAAGGGTTATTTCAAGTTCAAGTGAATTGAACTTCGGTGGACCATTTTTATCGGACTCGAAGTAAAAATAAATTCCATCAACATCATTCAGTATCAATATTGAACTTTAAATAAATTTGCGGACGGATGTGGATAAAGCAAATAAGACTCACAACTTTCAGTGACCTTATTCTCTGAATAATAATGGAAATGATGAAAAAATACCACGTATTTTGTGTCCTTCTCCGGATATTTCTCTCTCTTTTTTTTGGAAAGTGAGGAATGTTTCTTCTAATTGCAAGTGGATTGAAATTTGGTGGTGATTTTTTAACCATTTATATCGACTTGAATACACAATTTTATCGCATCAACAACAAGAGAAGATGACGTGCAATCAGGAACTTCATGATATTGAAGTCGAAGGAAAGTTCGAGTTTAATTTAAAAAAGAACACCACACAATTCGTGACCTAATTCTGTAAAAAAAATTATACTTAACAGTGCAGTAATACAATTAAATTTCATCACGTGTCCCTTTTCAGACATTTTTCTGATTTATAGACGATGACAAAGGGTTATTTCAAGTTCAAGTGAATTGAACTTCGGTGGACTATTTTTATCGGACTCGAAGTAAAAATGAATTCCATCACATCAACATCAAGCAGTATCAATATTGAACTTTAAAGAAAATTGCGGACGGATGTTGATAAAGCAAATAAGACTCACAACTTTCGGTGACCTTATTCTCTGAATAATAATGGAAATAATAATAAAAAAACCACGTATTGCGTGTCCTTCTACGGTTATTTATCTCTCTATCTCTTTTTGGAAAGTAACGAATGCTTATTTTAATCGCAAGTAGATTGAACTTTGGTGGTACATATATATGGATATATATGGTATATATGGATTTGAATGAACAATTTCATTGTGTCATAAACAAAAGAAGATGAGGTGCAATAATAAATTTCATGAAATTGAACTTGAAGGAAATTTCGAGCTTCATTTAAAAAAAATAAGACCTTGAAATTCGTGATCTAATTCTGTGAAAAATAATAATACTGCACTGTAAAAAAATTAAATTGTACTGTAATACAATTGAATTTCATCACGTGTCCTCTTTTCGGATATTCGTCACATTTCTGGACAGTGGCAAAGGGTTATTTTAATCTCAATTGAATTGAATTCCGTTGGTCCATTTTCATCAGACTTGAAAGTAAAACTGAATTCCGAAATTTATCACATCATTTAGTATCAAATTGAACTTGAAAGAAATTCGCAGACGTACTTTGATAAAGTAAATCAGACTCACACAGTCCGTGAACTTTTACTCCGAAAAATCACGGAAATGATGAAAAATACCATGTATTACGTGTCGTCTTCCAAATATTTTTCTCTTTTTTTTCTCAAAGTGACGNTGTTTTTTTTTTTTTTTTTTTTTTGGAAAGTGACGAATGGTTATTTTAATTGCAAGTGGATTGAAATCTGGTGGTGATTTTTTATCCGTTTATATAGACTTGAATAAACAATTTTATCGCATCAACAACAAGACAAGATGATGTGCAATCAGAAATTTCATGAAATTGAAGTCGAAGGAAAGTTTGAGTTTAATTTAAAAAAGAAGACCACACAATTCGTGACCTAATTCTGTAAAAAAAACAATACTTAACAGTGCAGTAATACATTTAAATTTCATCAAGTGTCCCTTTTGAGATATTTTTCTCATTTCTAGACGGTGACAAAAGGTTATCTTAATTTCAAGTAAATGAATTTTGGTGGACCATTTTTATCGGACTCTCAAGTAAAAATGAATTCCATCCCATCATTCAGTATCAAATTGAACTTTAAAGAAATTCGCGGATGGAAGTTGATGAAGCAAATAAGACTCACAACTTTCGGTGACCTTATTCTCTGAATAATAATGGAAATAATAATAAAAAATACCACGTATTGCGTGTCCTTCTCCGGTTATTTATCTCTCTCTCTCTGTTTTTGGAAAGTGACGAATGCTTATTTTAATCGCAAGTAGATTGAACTTTGGTGGTAGTATATATGGATTTGAATGAACAATTTCATTGTGTCATAAACAAGAGAAGATGAGGTGCATTAATAAACTTCATGAAAATGAATTTGAAGGAAATTAGGAGCTTCATTAAAAAAAAATAAGACCTTAAAATTCGTGATCTAATTCTGTGAAAAATAATAATACTGCACTGTAAAAAAATTAAATTGTACTGTAATACAATTGAATTTCATCACGTGTCCTCTTTTCGGATATTCGTCACATTTCTGGACAGTGGCAAAGGGTTATTTTAATCTCAATTGAATTGAATTCCGTTGGTCCATTTTCATCAGACTTGAAAGTAAAACTGAATTCCGAAATTTATCACATCATTTAGTATCAAATTGAACTTGAAAGAAATTCGCAGACGTACTTTGATAAAGTAAATCAGACTCACACAGTCCGTGAACTTTTACTCCGAAAAATCACGGAAATGATGAAAAATACCATGTATTACGTGTCGTCTTCCAAATATTTTTCTCTTTTTTTTCTCAAAGTGACGAATTAATGTGACGGTTATTTTTATCGCAAGTGGATGAAACCCGTTCATTAATTTTTGATCGCTTTGATGACGTGAAAAGATAAAAAGTTTAATCGTATCTTCAGAAGAAAAGGATAAGTTGCAATGGAAAATTTCATAAAATTTAACTTGAGGGAAGTTTTTAGGTAAAATTAAAAAGTAAGACCACGCACATTCCCTGACCTTATTCTGGAATAAGAATAATAATTATACTGTAATGATAAAATATATTATGCGTTCTTCCTCGGATATTTTTCTCATTTCCGGAAAGTGACAAAGGTTTTCTTTCAACGCAAGTGAATAATAAATGATGCTTAATTTTATTCATGTTAGACGACTAGACGTAAAAAATTCGATCGCATCTTCGGCAGAGGAAGATGAGGTGCAATGCAAAACATCATTAACTTGAACTTCAAACACTTTGTGGGCTTAATTTCAAAAATGAAGCAAGACCAATCTGTGATCTCATTCTCAAATAATAATACTGTACTATAAAAATGAACAAATTTATTTAGTTTTCTTATTCCTCAGATATTTTTCTCATTTTCGGAAGGTTAGCAAGGGTTATTTTAATCGCACGTGCATGAATCTCCGGTGCTTTATTTGTTATCCATTCTTGTTACCTTTAAATTGTTTAAAATTCCATGCCATCATTAAGCAGACGAAGATAAGATTCAATGCGAAACATTATCCAACATAATTGGAAACAAAGTCGCAGGCTAATTTTGTTGTTGGGCAGTGATGAACGTCTCATTTGAACCGGCGTTTTTTGCATAAAATTAAGCTACAAGAACTCCCATCTGTTTCATCCAACAGGTAGAATTTTAAAATCCACTTCTCAGTGGAATCAATATGCAAGGCTTTGTCACTAAGTTTGCAGTGAGAACCCCAAATGCAGACAATTTGACATGGGGACACTTATTTTCCAATTTGAAAAATCATGAAAAAGGCCAAACATGCAAACACTAACTCAATATATGGACATTGTGTGCTATAATTGCAAATAACTTTCAGGCCAAATTACAAGAAACAGATATTTCCAACGCTAAAATTGATGTAAGAAAAGTTCTTTGGCATTTCTCTCATCAATTTACCATCCATTTAGCCAATTTAAAAAATCACCTCCAGCATAGAGGTACTTCCTTCTCTCTTTTTGACTTCATTGTTATTTTTACAGAGAATGCCAACATTTTCATGTACTGTACGGAGGTATCAGTATTAAATTCCCCAAATGCCCATATTGTGTTGAAATATATTGATTGGAATCTGTTTAAATTGGGAGACAATTTTTATTTTCATGGAGCATGAATCTCCGGTGCTTTATTTGTTATCCATTCTTGTTACCTTTAAATTGTTTAAAATTCCATGCCATCATTAAGCAGACGAAGATAAGATTCAATGCGAAACATTATCCAACATAATTGGAAACGAAGTCGCAGGCTAATTTTGTTGTTGGGCAGTGATGAACGTCTCATTTGAACCGGCGTTTTTCGCATAAAATTAAGCTACAAGAACTCCCATCTGTTTCATCCAACAGGTAGAATTTTAAAATCCACTTCTCAGTAGAATCGATATGCAAGGCTTTGTCACAAAGTATTACAGTGAGAACCCCAAATGCAGACAATTTGACATGGGGACACTTATTTTCCAATTTAAAAAATCATGAAAAAGGCCAAACACGCAAACGCTAACTCAATATACGGACATTGTGTGCTATAATTGCAAATAACTTTCAGGCCAGATTGCAAGAAACAGATATTTCCAACCGTAAAATTGATGTAAGAAAAGTTCTTTGGCATTCCTCTCATCAATTCACCATCCATTTAGCTAATTTAAAAAAATCACCTCCAGCATAGAGGGACTTCCTTCTCTCTTTTTGACTTCATTGCTATTTTTACAGAGAATGCCAACATTTTTATGTAATGTACAGAGGTATCAGTATTAAATTCCCCAAATGCCCATATTGTGTTGAAATATATTGATTGGAATCTGTTTAAATTGGGAGACAATTTTTATTTTCATGGAATTATCGTGAGTATTTTGTCCATAAAACACCAATTAAAAATTGTATAGTGTAAGTCTAAGGGAAAATGAGACTCAACTTGGGGACATTTTGACTTAGGGACACTCTTGATGCACCAATTATGTCTACATGTTGGGGTCTCACTGTAATTTATCTTAGAATCTTACACACAAAGTTTAGTTCTAACAAATGAGTGCATGGGCCTTTTGATGCCCAACAGGAAATGCTCAGGAAACTAATGTAACATTCCATAAATGAAAGAAATTTGCAATTCCAAGCAGAATAAGATGAATTTATTAAAATAACCCTAGAACAAGCAGCTGAAAAATCATGGTCATGCTTCATCATCAAACTGTCAAAAATAATTTGCGGAACTTCTTGACAAGTTCCTGATTTTCTATGTTTATTTTCACGTGTTCATGGACATGTGAGACGACATGTGGAGTTTTCTTTCAGTCCTAATTGCGTCGAAAACACAGACACAAAAAAAAATTCAACGCTATTCCGTATCCGGGTGTTGAACTGATAATACTGGCTACTACGTCTTTGGCAACCCTCATTTCACTAAGGAATGCATTTTATATTCAAATCGTCGTGACTTTAATGAATTACTGTACTACTTTATTATACAGTACAGTACAATATTTCAAACAACTGCCTTCGAATTCAAGACGTCAAATAAATTAGCAGACTGGTGAGAGGTTCAGAAGTCAAGCATCAGGAAACAATTTTTCCAGAAATAATTCAAATAAAAGCCTAACGTCCTTATTTAATTCATGCGTTCTGTTGGCGACTTGTCTTATGTTTTTTCATATGTCATGACATGTACTTCATCCCACAAGGCCATATTAAAAACCTCTTCAGGTAGGGAAACTCAAAAACATGCATATATTTCCGGATTGAACTTTTTCGTTAGTTGCGATATTCCAACACGGAGATAACGGGTCATGGAAATTAATTTCGAAGCTAGTGCATTTCTGCGGAAATCAGCGACCGACTTTTCCAGCTGACATTCCAAGTAAAAAGAAGCAACGTTCGTAGAAGATTCGTTGAATACCAAGAGGTACAATGGACTCTACACAAAATAACGTTAATTCGTATTTTCATGCTTGAATTGATGCATCTCTTCAGAGGGACAGAAAAATTTACAGAATCCCTGAGCAGAACAAAAAAGTTCAGGAACATAAATTTGAAGATATATCTTGGAAAACAATGATGACAATATCATGAATTTAAAAGTTGTCTCGCATAAAATTATAATAATAATGATAAATTCTGGACTGTTTGGCCTGACGTCGCACACCAAGCGACATCTACCATAAATAACATTAAAAATATGTCATATGGGAAATGGGAAGGGGGGGGTTTGTCCTGAAGCATGGATGGGAGTATCCAAGTACTTTACCGTACACAGATTTAACAAAATTAGTCAAAACCTGAAAATTTTCAAGAACTCAATTTTCAAAAAATGTGTTCTCGACTCCATTACTTACTGAAATATAACTGCACAGACATTTTCGTCCATTTAACCATGGTAAAACTTCATCGGCATTTTGTGACGTTACTCTAAGAAAAAAATCAGTTTCGGTTCCCCAGAGGCACATTTATTTGCTGGTTTTAAACGACATTCTCATTAATTATCCTCATCGCAAACTTTTGGATTTTGTTATTCTTTGCATTCAGGAAAATGTTCCTCTTGATCCGAATTCATATGAAAATAAATGACGAGGATGAACATTTCAGAAGTTGGCTGCGATAATGAATTCGCGCAGACATCAATTTTCTTTCCGTACCAAAAAGTAGTACAGTACTTGCGCTGGGCATCAATAGCCAACACGTTGGCAGTGAGCGACATCTACGTCAGTATCATAAACGCGGAATAATCATGATTTTCGCGGAAATTCGCATTGAACGCCAAAACTAGACCCTCTTGTTGGAAATTGAAATGGGAATGTTGAAGTCTTTAGATGAGATTAGGCTGGCGCCATTGAAAGGTTAGAGTAGTGAATGAGTCTGAAAGTGGGTGAGACCAAGTTTGACCTTGAGTTCACACAAGAATCCAAATTCTTGGGGAAATCCTGTTGAAAGGATAATTCTGGTCAGGGACAAAATTTCGCAAAAGGAAAAGAGTTTAAATACCGGATTGATTTCATGTATCATCATCAGTTGTTCTGGGCTTGTCTCACGCAAAAGACTGCTGCTTGTCAATCTGCAATCTGTTTGCCAAAATCTTACACCTTGCTGAATATACCGGTGTAAAGCACCCCAGCCATAGCCCGGCTGATTGTTGTTTGAATTATTCCAAATCTAGTTTTCAATTCAGAAGATTTCAAACCTTCTTAAAACCTATTCCTAACACCTCTTTTAGAACCTGCATGAGGAAATCCAGTCATGCGCCAACAATTTCCTCATGGTGACTGATGCAGAACCTAGTCTTGAGAAATGACTATTTTTTCGGTGTTAATTTTTCAGAGTTGATGCTCAAAAATTGAAAACGCGAACGAGTGCGGGGAGAGTGTGTGAATAGACTTTTCAAGAGACAAATCCGGAGGCGATGCTTCATTTCAGAAGCAGCAAAAAAGTCTCCACAGACCTGGAACCCAGCTCCATAGAACCCACAGGACGGCTCTATGAACACGAACCCTTGCCCGATCTGAGCGAGGAAGAAACCAAAAAGTGGACCAAAAATGACCAAGAAATCGAGATTGTGTGGAGGAACGTTTTGCTGTTCCTCAGCCTTCATTTGTCGGCACCCATCGGCCTGGTCATGACTGTGACTCATGCCAAGCTGGCGACAACATTTTTTGGTAATGCAAATTGAACCTTGGCAAACTTGAACCTCCACAAGTAAACAAAAAATGGTTTAACCCCTGTGTCAAGTTCCCTTAGAGACACTGCATTAAAAACATTGGTGTACTCTGAAAGGGAGAGAAAAACCAAGTGGGGAAATGAACCCTTGCCTCCAAGTTTCAGCATCCTGTCAAATGATTAATGAAGCAATTTCAGACCCAGAATATCACCAATTAAAATTTCCTGTAATTCTTCCACTTTCCATCAAAAATGCTTGTTTCCTCAACTCAAAACCTCTCTAACCCAAATGTTTGCTATTGGGGACTTGCAGCGCTTCTTCCTTAAAAATCAATCATAAATATTCAATTGGGTGGAAAACCACCCGCGCGTGAAAAACGGATAAAATCTGTCAACAACTTTTTCCCCTCCCCCAAAAAATTAAACTGTCTTGGCGCCAAGACGTCTTTGATTACCAATTTATCGGCCAATCCCAGGCCTCCAAGATCCTCCTGCCCTTGATCAAGGACCAGAGAAGAAATTAATAAAAACCCCGTTAATTGTAAAAATGACACAGTCTGATTTTAGCTGCCGGAGCAGTGCGTTGGGAGGTTTTTTCTGTTATCCAAATACTGTATGTTGTCAATCTACTTGTGTTTGTGTGACCATTTTTCTAACACGTTTATTTCGGACATTTGAAATACATTTTAAAACTTAAACTAGGGATTCCACCTTGAATTCCCGGCCCCAGTCCTGGGCTGATTCTGTGTTTTCTTTTACAAACTATTTCTAAAAACGTTTCTTTTTAGCAAACCTTTATTGCGATGACTTCTGTCCCCACCATTTGCTGGTCCCTTCAATTCCGACCCAATTCAAGTTTGACTGTGTTAGCTTTCCCAACACAAACTTTTTATTGATACTGAATTTATACCACTGTACATCCACACAAAAATTGAGAAATTCCTGGAATGGCTGATGTTGCAAGTCCAAACCAGATTGAAGCATACGATTTTCTGGAATGATAATAAAAAGGTTATTGCAAAACTTTTTGTAATGTACTGGCCAAAGTTCTATTAAAATGTGGTACTTGGGACAGGAAGTTTTTTTTGCCTGGTGGGGACATTGTACGCAATTACAGTACTGCATAATTGGATACTATACAAATATATGCAACAGAAATTGAGTAACAAGAAGTGCCCTAAGCAGGAAACTTCTTGAACTACAAATCTCCATTTGGCAACCATTTCCAGTTTTGCTGCTGCGAATTATTAACGAATCAGAAGTACTGTATTTGTGACAAGGTTTCCTGTATGACTTCACATTTTCTGTTAATTTCTCTTACTCAATTCAAATTTTATTTCATGCTGGAACTAATCAATTGGATTCCAATAGTAACCAGCTGTGACTTGTATATGACAAATACTGCCTTGAAGAGCAACCTGGCTCCTGGAACAGATTAGTGGGGTGTTAAGAAATGAACGTAATCCATTCCAGTGGTTTGTTTGTTGCTCAAAGTATTATTTATGTAAGGCACCAGTTCCTGTATTAAACAGCAGGAAATTCCTGCAATTGGCCCCAAAGGGAAAAATAAATTCCAAATGTAGAATGAAGAAAATTAGCATGAACAGACATGCAAGAATAAAAAGCAAATATTACTGACTAAAAAGTTTAAATTCCAAATTATTAAAAATTATTTAAAAATTAGAAGCAGAAAGGACATTCAGATTCCCTGAACGTTTTAATTCCCTTTTGAATTAAATTTGTATTCCAATGTTGGTTTCGCATTTGGGAATGGGGTGAAATCAGAAATCTGTCTCAATTTCTAGAAATTTCCATTTATGGCTCCTTTTTCTAGACACATGTATTCCTGGATGTATTTTGCTATGCCAAAGTTTTGTAATGCAAAATGAAATACCACTCAAGTATGCAGTGAAAAAGATTCAATTTTTTGGACATGCACCAAAAGACCAAGTAAACCTTGAAAACTGGGCAGTCTTTAAAATGTGAAATTAAAATTTTTCAGTATTAAATTGGAGAAATCCTGACAAATCTGTGCTCAAAACTTTGTGATTTCCAAAATGTTGATGAAAAGAAGGCACCAAACCCTACCCTTCTTTCTTAGTTCTAATTTTCTTGATCATTTCAGTTCAGAAATTCCTGACATTAGAGTAATTTTGGCAATCATTTTTGTTATGTGGGTCACTTTGCAGCCAACCCAATCTTGTACAGGTGGTACCTCACAATTTGACCCAACTTTGTTACTGAACTTGGACAGAATTGCGGGACACTCCCTGAAATTTTAAATGCAAGTACAAAAATGGAAAAAATGGCCAAAGCTGGTCAAATTGTGGGGCAAGGGTTGAATTGCTAGTCAACCTCCCAGCAAATTACACCGTCAAATTGTGGTAGGTCAAATTGTGAGGTACCACCTGTAATGCAACATTTTGTTATGGATCTTTCATAATGCTGGGACCCATTGCACATGAATACAGTACCTGCATGATTTTTTTTCCCAATTTTGCAGCCATTAATCTGATGTTCTGGTCTGGGTTTGGAGTGACAGCTGGGGCCCACAGACTCTGGGCACACAGAGCGTACAAAGCTAAGTTGCCCCTTCGGATACTTCTCATCATCCTCAACACAATTGCTTTCCAAGTAAGTACTGCAGCTTTGCCACATTCCTCAAGCTTCATTGCATTCTAGTATTCCTAATTGTATCTTCAGTTCAAACATATATTCTAAAAATGATATCCTTCTTATAAGCTGAATGAGAAACTTTATAATCTCAAATAGAAAAGAGTTGGTTTATCCAACATAACTACAGTTTGACATGTTCTCTCCTACTCCAAGAATGCGTCTTCTCATATTTGAATAGAGAAAATGACTCTGCTCAAAATAACCCCCTCTTTCTGAATTTTGGGAACATGTGCCTGCTCTACAAGACAGCATGAGGTTTCTTTTGAAATTATTGCATCCTGCATTTCCTTAGTCATGCAAACAGTTATCTAGACCAGAAAATTAGTGGAAGAAGTTGACAGGCAACTTTTTTCTGAAAGTTTTTACTCAAATAGTTCTTGTAACCAGTCTATGGCACTTGAAACCATAAAATATTACATGCCATTTGAAAGAGAAATGAACAAACTTTGATTTGGTCATTTTTTCATTGTCACAGCTCAATTTCCTACTGAGCCATTCCAAGTCAAAAACTGGTTCACTTTTTTGGCCCACCCTGTATATATGTCAGAGAAGCTCAATATCATGCAGAAGACATGAAACAATATTAAGAATAGTTTCAATCTAAATCCATTGCGTTTCCAATCACAAAACCAACTTATTGCAGCATAATCAATGGATTTTGAGACATCCCTCACCAGAATAAAGTCAAGACAAGTAATGGTGGAAAATTGGCCACCAAAGTTCACCATCAAAATTCAAGACTATGGACTTCAATGCATCTTTCCGTTGATATTGTCAGTCAACTGATTCAATAACATATGCCAAAAACAACATAGTTTGACAAAAGATGCTCATGCATTCCAGCTGTGAGAGAACAGACTACAATTGTGCTAAAATTTGCAACTCACAAGGAAATTCACAAATTCACAAGGAACCAGACAATAAAAAAACCTATAACATAGAGGAAAGAACCATATGGGGCCAAAAAATTAGTTACACCCTGTACAGAAATTTTCGTTGTAGACAAGATCGTTATAAGGGAGGGTTGACCTCTATTCCAAATTTCGAGCATAACGCTTTGGCAACCACATTGTAGTAAAAAGTTTGAGTACAAGTGCCATCACTAAAGAGAAGCTGATCCAAATGCCGATCATTCCCACGACCAAGCTGTAGTACTTTCCTTTTTGCAAATTGAAGGAAACAGATCACCAAGAGCCGTCATTCAACTCTCCCTCATTCACAAAAATTTTGGAAAAGGGAGAGTTCCCATTTCAGTACCAGTACTAAGTACTAACCACTACCAGTAGTTCTCAACCTCAAAAAAAGGGGAAATAGATGTCGATTGCAGCACTGGATTATTTCTAAACAATCACTGTTGAAACAGGACTTCAAGAATCATATAAGAAATGAACACCATCTCTCTACAAGATGGAAAAACAATGTTCCTAATTTGCGCAGAACTTCTGAAGATTTTTCATAATACGATATACGCGGAAATAACAATATTTTATACCACCTACTTCCGATATTCGTCATTTTTAAAACGGATTTACTTCCTCCAGTAAAAATACAACAATAATTTGAATATTTTGGAAATCGCAAAAAAAGCAGGGACAAAAAGTTCGGAAAAATAAAATTAAAGGCTTCAGTCAAAAATTTCAAATTGTTGATACTGTACTCGGAATTTCCTATTGCTTTGACTACAGCCATCTCTGGAAAGCTTTCGTACAGTCCCTCATCACACTTTGTACAGTAACAGAAATCCGTTTTGAATCCTGGGGAAAAAAATCTCAAGAGTCGAAAACATTTCGCACGAAAAAGAAAGTTTACTTTAGATTCGCTCACCTTTTAATAAGTATTCAACTATTGTATAAATATACAATCGAACGTAGGGAAGATACAATTGAGTAGGGCGGTTAGCCTTTAAGGGTCGGGTGTGTCTTTTACGTAAGTTGTGGTCTCGCAATTCAAGGTCATAATTGCGACCTTACGCCTTGGGTAAAAGGTGTACGTAAGACTTGTGAATAAAATTTCTAAACTTGAGAAATGTTTGCACGGTACTTGAATACCCAAACACTAGATCTAAAAAACAGTCGTTGCTTTTTACCGAAACCAATCACTGTGTAGTGCAGGATCAAATACTGTAGATGGATAATTCAACATTTTCAAAACTGCCATGACTTTGTCACAGGACGACATCTATGTGTTGTGAGGGGACATACGAGCACATTCATAGAATAGAGAAACTGCCGATAGTTCTTCGCTGCAGAACGCCATGAATGATTGATATGTAGGGATTTAAATTCATCAATTTTGAAACGGACAAATGGTTTCATAGCATAGCCATATCCATGAGTCGTGCAGGGACATAATTTCACGAATTATAGAACTGAAAACGGCTTTTCTTTTCCATAGGAAAATGACATTCATGAGTACTGAAAAAACTTTCATTGCAGAAGGGACATCGCTGAATGAAATTTAGGAGTGCTATGGGGACAGGAATCCGTGCATTTTTAAACAAAAAAATTCTTCTGTCGTAGAACAACATTTGTGAGTCGTTCACGGAAATGCTTTAAATTCATAAATTTGAAAACGAATAATAGTTATGTTGCAGAACGACATGCATGCGTTTTGCAGGGTTATAAATTCAAAAATTTGAAAATAGACATCGATTTACTAGGAACGAAGAACGACATCTATGGGTGTTACAGGGGCATAAATTCATAAAATTTTTAAACTGACAATTGTTGTTTAAAAACTCTTGGGGATACCCAAGGGATCGAAGTTTGTCTTTACGCCGGCCGGCGGTAGAAATCAGCAGTCGTTTTTCTTAGTGAAAATAATTCTTTTCTTGATTTCCGGTAACATAGATTTATTTTTCCCATTCCAAACCACAGTCTCAAAATAGGGAGTACATTCGTTCTCCGCCCAAACATTTTTTTCCTGGCATGTTAAAATCAATTCCAAAACCAAAATAGCCATCGTTCCCTGGAAAACTGCGAAGTAGGAAATTCCCCCAATTATTTCCCCTAAAATGACCAAGTAGAAATTTCTCGTAAATGCGCGAAATAAGGCCAATGCGCAGAATCTGTTCCCAAACCAAATAAGCTAACATTAGAGAACACCCTCTAGCAGCAAACCTTTAAATTGCGCGGCCACAATTCAAATAGATGTCACCGATGACATCTAGATAACCATTACCAGGAAAAAACCTAAATTGCCCAAAACAATATTTTTCTGGGCTTCAGAAAAATGCGGGAGAAAAAATTGAAGCAAGATTTTCGCCACAGACAAAGCTCTTGTTGCAGATTGAAAACATATATGAGTCCTGCAAGGAAATAAATTCATAAATTTGAAAAAAAAACAATGAAGCTTTTCGTTGCAGAAAGACATCAATGAGTGGTAGATGAACATAAATTCATACATTTTTGAAAGGATAATGCTCTTGTATAGCAGCAGAACGACATCCATGAGTCGTGCAGCGACATAAATTCATAAATTGGA